ACTATCCGTCTTATCTGGTGGGAAGAATCTAATCTTTTTTTAATCCAGGGGGATTCGTAAAGCAGGGAACCGGTGGATTGGGGGACTTGGGTGTGGAACAGATATTTTTAAAAAGGAACCTAATTACTCTTGCAGACAACATGTGGCCCATCTCAGCTCCATTTTGTGCAGTCTCTTTCACTGGGTAACATGAGAACTCTACATATGTTCTTCTAGTAGCTAATGAGCATTCCCTGTAGATTCTTTGAGCTTTTACTCTCATTACCCATGACCCTTGACCCCGTGTTGCTTTGAAGGGATAGAAGCTGGAGGTCAGGACAAGTTGGGTATGGCGAAAAATCACATTAAGGCATAGTGTTTTGTTTGATCCTAGCCTCTATGGTTTAATCAACTAGGTTTAAATAAGTGACTGCTTAACATACGGGGTGAAGAGGCCTGGGATTCTTATCCTAGTTCTATAATCCCTTGACCATCAGTGATTTGACAATCAGTAAATCACACCGCTAGAAAAATTTCAATTCTTGTCACCCAGTTGGAGTTTAACCCTCGACCTTCGGCATTACAACAGATTAGAGGATCTGATATCTAAGTCTGCAGACACTAGAAAGCTTCTCTCTCTATTTCTCCAAGTAATGAGCAGTGTTCTCCTATCTCACAGCCATTCCTCTTTCTCCCTGGTTCCCAAAGCAACACTGAGCCCTTTGAAGAACTTCAGATCTTATTCTGTCTTCTTTCTCCATCAACTTCACTGCTTTGGATCTAGTAAAAGTCTTCCTTTTCACGTCAGAACATCAGAATAACAGAGTTGGAAGGGACCTTGGAGGTCTTCTAGTCCAACCCCCTCCTTGAGCAGGAGATCCTATACTATTCCGATCAAATGGCTGTCCAATATCTTCTTAAAAATTTCCAGTGATGGAGCACCCACAACTTCTGGAGGGAAGTTGTTCCAATGGTTTATTGCTTTCGCTGTCAGGAAGTTTCTCCTTAGTTCTAGGTTGCTTCTCTCCTTGATTAGTTTCCACCCGTTGCTTCTTTTCCTGCCTTCTGGTACTTTGGAGAATAGGTTGACCCTTGTCTTCTCTGCGACAGCATATTTCCTATAAATATTCAAAATATTCATACATTTCTTTTCTCTTCAATGTCACCCTCAGCTTTGTTTCCTCTTGTTTACCCAAGCTTTCTTTTTTGCTTTCTTTCCCTTCTTCCTTCCCTCTTTCCTTTCCTTTCCTTTCCTTTCCTTTCTTTTTTCCATGAGCAAATTGAGGAAGACTAGTCATTATGGATCTCAGAAATTGTAAACGATGGGGATTCTGTGGCTGAATACATTACCTTGGTAAAGCTACTAACAAGAAAAATTTAACCTGTATCTTGTGAGCATTCGTCTACAACTGGCCAAATTCCCCTGCTCCAACTTTACACACAGAATCAGTCAAGAACAGAAGATCTAAATGAAGCAGAAACATGTCCAAAGCAAGAAATATTGCCAGAGTCCTCTCTTCTCTTCCTTTTCCCTTTCAGCCTCGGCTCAATACGAGGCTAAGGCTGGTAAATTATTTATAAAGTGGGCCAGGAGTTGAGCAGAATAGGGAGAACCTTCTGCGACTTACTTTTCAACACCTTGCAATATGTAAAGTTAGTTTCCCTCACTTTCTGCTTTGGGAAAATCTCCACTGGGGTTCCAGAGAGAGAGAGAAATATTGGTTTTATTTAGAATGTTTACGTTAAATGCTGCTGGTGCCAAAATACATATTGGCAGAACTGGGCAGTTCTGCATATTCTCAGACAGGTTTGCGCCTCCTGAAAGTGGAAAGGTTACACTGGCAAACACGATACTGATTCATTCCTGTTAATTACCAACATCTGCTGTGAAAATCACTTTTCTTAAAAATCAAGTGTTTTGGCACCCAGTTGGTGCCTGGCGGAACAGAGAGATGTTAAGGCACAGTTTTCCAAGAATCGGGTATATGACAAGTCCAGTATTTTCCAAAGCACCTGAAGGCAGGACAAGAAACAATGGACGGAAACAAATCAAGGAGAGAAGCAACCTAGAACTAAGGAGAAACTTCCTAACAGTGAGGACAACTAACCGGTGGAATGGCTTGCCTCCAGAAGTTGTGGGTGCTCCATCACTGGAGGTTTTTAAGAAGAGGCTGGACAACCATTTATTTGAAATGATATAGGGTCTCCTGCTTGAGCAGGGGGCTAGACTAGAAGATCTCTAAGGTCCCTTCCAGCTCTATTTTATTTGGAGACATTCTTATGCAACACACAGCAGGAGTTTAAAGCAAGATTTCCCAAACTTGGCAACTTTAAGATGGGTGGACATCAGCTCCCAGAATTCTAAGCTGGCTGGGAATTCTGGGGCTTGAAGTCCACCCATCTTAAAGTTGCCAAGGACCCTTTCATTCTTGCTTAGAAGATCAGGACAACTCACGTAAGCTAGTGTTGAGTCTTCATAGAGACGAGGCCAAGGCTGTGGGCTAGTAAGAAGGCATCATGAAAATGTGTGAGGTTGATTGAGATGAAATGGATTTCAAGAATTCCAGAAATGGGATCGTTTCTCCTTTGGAATCAGTTTCCCTAATTCATGAGGAGATCTTCTGATTTTCTAACAGGCTTCCTAGGATGGCAGCAAGTAGGCAAGTCTCTTTGCTGATAAAGAGGAAGTTTACACGACGGTCTTCAAAACCATGTAATGGTCTTCAGAACCCTTGTCAATCTGGGAATCATCTATTTCACTTATGGGTAGTCCTCAACCATCCATTTAGCAACCATCTGAAGTTCCAAGGGCAGTTACATTATAGTTCTTCACCAACATCCAACTGGTGATGGTCTTCCTGCATTGGGATTCATTGACTAGGTCCATGAATCACAATAAATCATGGCTTGTTTCAGCCTTAAGTAAGACACTGTGGCTGAGTTCACACCTCTAGCAAGACCCAAATCAAGCTACGTTATGGTTTAATCCAAACTTTGCCATCCTATGGCTGAATTAGATCTTCTTTTGCCCTTAGAAACCCAGATAGGATCATCAGTATGAAACACGTTGCTTAAAATAAATGTTTTCTGCATTTTACACTTTTTACATCTTTATAGCACTCTGGAATCCTCCGTCATTTTAAAGCACCATTTTGTTTGACAGCTAAGTGCATTAGTGCATGCTTTTATGAGAACTGGATATTTTCCCCTCCCTTTTTAGTAAAGTAATTATTTTCTCCTGTACTTCCTAAGAATTATTCCACAGATGTTAACATAATTCTATAGTTACAGCCTGCACATATTTTCAGTCTGAGTTCGTCCTGAGGGCACAGACCTACCTTAAGAATAGGACTGCATGGCTAAACAGGAAATACTGACTAAATGGAGTTAAAATGGCTCCAAAATAAATATGAAGGAAGGAACTGGGATCAGACCCAACAGAATGGCTCTGCCTTGGCAATTTAGCACAAGACCATAGCTAGACATTTGGCAGTCAAGCAGATACCAATCTAGAGTTGTCTGCAGGATATGGGCATCAACTCATGATAGCAGGATTAAAGCTCCATCTGTGTGTGTGTGTGTGTGTGTGTGTGTGTGTGTGTGTGTGAGAGAGAGAGAGAGAGAGAGAGAGAGAGAGAGAGAGAGAGAGAGAGAGAGAGAGTTTGTCTTTGTCTTTGTGTGTTGCATCATCCCATCTTCTACCTTGACTTTTTGACCCCTTTCTGCAGATATATTTGAGTCTGCAAATTTGAGCAGCCACTGACTCGTGTCCATATATAGCTCTAATCTCATCCTCCAGTTCGACATTTTCATTTATATGGAACATTTTAAGGAGTTGCTCGGGAACGGTTCCAGCTCAAACTTTGGGGATGATTGATGGGGAAAGCTTAAAACAGGGATACGTTTTGGAAAGAAGTGGAAGCGAAGCAATTCCTCTCCATCCTCAGCCCATCTGCCTGAGCGAACATGATTGATTGGCACGTTTCCTACACCACTCCGTACCCCATCAGATGGCACTGTTGGGCTGCTCACTATCGGGCAGTGTCAAAGGCACTGATTTCTACCACAAAAGCTAGATTGCAGCATTTTTTCTTTCCCCCTGCGTAGAGCGCTAAAGCAACGAGGCTGTTAAATAAACAATGACAACAAAGATGTCGGGACATTAGCTATGGGAATATTTGGAAACCTGCAAACCAACCGACTGCAGTTTTCTAACAGCCCTTCTGGAACCATTCGCATCTACAGCATGTCTGTGTGCTTGAGCAGTCATGCTGGCTAATGGACTTCCAACCAAGATGCGCAGAGGAAAAGGGCTCTTTTTCTGCCTATGTGCAATCCAAGCCATGTAAAGGGGACCCAAGCTGTCAAAGCCCTGATTCCCCACAAGATCCCTCCTTAGAGCATGGTTGGTCAACCCCAGGTGACTTTAACATCTGTGGACTTCAACTCCCAGAATTCTCCAGCCAGCCATGCTAGGTGATTTTAGAGGATTACGCCATCAAGTTAGCATGTTAGCTAGGCAAAAATGGTGACTTATAATATCAAAAAGTGACTCCATCGATACTAAAATTTTCATTGAATGAAAGCCTGAGATTTGTCTTGGATCAAGAAAAACAAGGAAGGAAAGGAGAGTCGAAGATGGAAGGAAGGAAGGAGATGGGGAGGAAGGAAAGTAGAAGAGCGGATGGATGGATGGATGGATGGATGGATGGATGGATGGATGGATGGTGGAAGGGATGAAATAAGAAATAAGGAAGGAGATAAAATGAAGGGAAGGAGGGAAGGAAAGAAGGGAGGGAGGGAAGTAGGAGAGGATGGATGGAAGGAAGGAAGGAGATGAAAGAGAAGAAGTAAGGAAGGAGATGAAATGAAAGGAAGGAAGGAAGGAAGGAAGGAAAGAAGGAAGGAAGGAAGGAAAGAAGGAAGGAAGGACTTCGCTACATTTAGGTATTCCCAGTTAAGTATTCCTTCACCCTATCTTCATCTCCCAGTCAGAATTAGATGAACTACTTACAGGGACAAGGACCTATTTCCTGATATTTAATATTTCATATTCTCTGTGTGGACATTTGCACAAGAAGACAGAGGAAAGAGGAAGGTGGTGCTGGATATAGTCAAAAACAACGGATGGTGTCTAGGTGTCTAGCAGGAGCACCACTCCCTGCAGATTGGCTTCACTTGAAGATAAATCTCTGGCTCCCCAGAGGACAATCTTGGTGGAGAAATAGAAATGAACTATTAATCTACTGCTAACAGTGACTTATTTCTCCTCAGCCAGCACTGTTTCTTATTTATTATCTAGTCATTCCTTCTAATTTAAAGATCCTAAAACATTGAGGATGGACTTCTTGGAATATTCAAAAGCTTTTTAGAAGTATCAGTTTTGGAAGGAGTTGCAGTAAGTTGACCTGGATACAGCTGTGAAGGAGTCAGCTCTCCGTGGATTTGTGTGGTGTCCATTTCCTCCTCACTTCCAAGATTTATTAGCCTGTGGTGAAAGGATGAAAAAAAAATATTAGCAGCTGAACTGAGGCAGGTTGAAAGAGCGCTAGGATCAATCAGGACCAAAGAACTGTCAAAGCTCTTTTTCTCTTTCTCTTTCTCTTCCTTCTCCTTCTCCTTCACCAGCACTCCTTCTCCACCACCACCATTCTTTTTCCTTCTCCTTATCTTTGTCCTTCTCTTTCTCCTCCTCCTCCACCATCATTCCTCATCCTTCTCCTCCACCATCTTTTCTTCTCCTCCTCCTCCTTCTCCTCCTCCACCACCATTCCTTCTCCGTCCCCTTCTACTCCACCATCTTACTTCTACTTCTACTTCACCATCATTCCTCTTCCTCCTCCTCCTCCTCCTGGTATCCTTACACCAGAGACTGAAAAATATACCAGCCCAGTCCAGTTGGAAGACATGCACCTGGAATCTCAGATGAAATGGTTCATTTAATAACCATGACAAAAAGGTCATAAAATTGGGCATAACTTACTTAAAAACCACTTTGCTTAGCAGTGGAAATTCTGATCCCAGCTGTGGCTATAAATTGAGGATTACCTTTATGGCACTAACCTAGCTCTTTGTTTTAATTGGTAGGGTTTTTTTTACCAGACTGGACCTTGTAGGATTTGCAAGTCCAAATATTTCATCGTGTAAGGTCATTGTCTAAGATGGCCCGTTCTATATCATTTCCCTACTTTGTAAAACTCTAGTTTCTTTAATTGGGGACATCTCGCTTCTCAAGCCAAAGATTTTCAACTAACGAATGTAGCTCACTAATCACCAGCGTGCACCCGAAACCAAGTGACGAGGATTGTCAAACGTTGGAGCTGTTGTTTGGAAAAATATCCAGAGCGGAGAGGAACTGAACTGACAACGCTTCTGTTTACTCAGGATTGTCTTTAGTTGTGGTCTTAATGAGCTCCCTGAGTTTAAAACCACTGTGTCTGTGTGCACGTACAGCTGCGTCTTAGTTAAATGTTTGGCTGGCGTTACTTATCAAGGGCTTAAAAACTCAATCTGGCAAATTTCAAGCAGCGGGGGGGGGGGAAATGCATGCGCCTCAGAGTGATGAAACCGGGGACGCTGAAAATATGTTTCTCAAAAAGTAATATAACAGATTCGGTGCTCAGTTGCATATCAAACAGACCCAGCCTTCCAGCAACTATTGTCTCATAATCTGATCTGGCATCGATTCACGACATACAGAAAGCAGCCATATTGGGAGGCAAGTGTGCTTGCTCCGGAATGGATGTTCTTCTCCAAAAGAATTCCTGCAGAGACTTCAGTCCCAGAGGCCCGAAGATGTTCCAAGATTCTGCAGGAACTGTGCACAGCTTCCTCAAAGCATCTCCAGATGGATCCCATTGTGATGGTTGGTGTCTGCAGAAGGGGAAGTGGTGTGATAGACTACAGTGGAGTTGCTGTTCCCCAGGAAGAAGGGAGCACATTCCAGAAAAGGGGCTAAAATGAGAAAAAGCACAGCCCAGAACTGGATAGGAGACAGAGAAAGAGAGTTAGCATAGCTACTTCCTATAATCTCTCAGGGTATATCCATTGGGGTGAGAGTAGTAAGGGTTGAGTCTGGCAAGATTCTGTCTACCGGATGGGAAAGAACTGAACCTGGACTATTGTAAAGGTGCTTTTTTAAAAGGCAATTGGGCTTTCTTGTTTTTTCCTTGGAGTCATTTTGTTGCTCATTCAAGAAGCTTATTCAGTTCAGAACTGAAAACAAGAAAGTCCAGTTGCCTTTTGAAAAAGCACCTTTGGGACATGAGCTGGATGACTGAGCATCTCCACAGACTTTGAACTTTGACTAGATTGTTCTATGTCATTCTTGGTCTGGGCCTGATCTCAATGGATTTATTTTGGGACAATATGTCTAACAAGAGCCCAGGATGGTCTTCTGGGAGAGACAAAGAATCAGGACTACATGTTAAACTCCAGCTAAGCTGATGCATTGCTCACATCTATACGCAGTCAACTAGTCAACTAACAGTCACCAATAAATCGGTGCGAGATAAGAGTTTACAGAATTCAAGAGGGGTTGGACTTACATTTGTGGGAATGTAATGACTTCAGGCTAATTCCTCTCTTGACTCCACCTGCAGGCTCTGTCTCTGCTTCTACATGGATCAAGATTTCTCCCCCCCTCTTCTGTTCTGGGATCCTCCTCTTACCAAGAATTATACCTCAAAAATGTCATGTAATAAAACAAGCCTCTTTTTTCTTCAGCAATGCTCACTTCAAACACTGTTAAATGGTCGCGCCCTCAAATAACCTCAGTTATGACTTATTAAAGAATCCTTTGAACTATAAAGTGAGACACCACTCACTCAAGCAGATGCTACCTTGGGGAAACATCTAATGGGAAAACCTAAGAATGTCCCCATCGTTTGGAGAGAATCATATCACAAGGCAACTGCCCAAACTACAAAAAAAAAAAAAAAGATGCACCAATGCAGTCTTAGTTTACAAGCTCTGGTTTAGCTTAAGCCCAATCTGACAAGGATCGGATGATTGGAGGGTTTTGTTTTGTTTTAGATAAACCCTTCTGCGCTATGTGTACAATTTAGTCCATGGATAAAAGAGAGAACAACAGTCTGCGGGATGAATAAAATATGTGAATGCTCTATTCTAGGACAGTAAGTTTTTTTTTCCAGAGCACTTCGCAACATGACATGTAGCTACATGTTTTATTTAAATGGGCTTTTTAATGCCACATTGCCAAGTTTGATTGCAGCGATGTCATTTATCCTCCGTGTAGCATAGTAAAAGTAATGGGAAATTTGACTCAGGATTTTCATGGTGCGGAATCTGATTCATGCAAAAATAACACAGAGTAATTCTGAGTTTTGTCCTTCCTAACAACATGTTCAATGTCTCTGGCAAACCGCTCTCTCCATCTTTAGTTTCTCCTGAGGCTTGGCACAGCTGCCTCGCAAAACTAGAGCAACAAAGCATCCCACAATCATGGGCCGCGAAGCAGCAAACGGGCAAATAAAATTTGCAGGACACGCACGTTCGAAGAAGCAATGGACATTCCTGCCAAAATGGAAGGCAAAGAAGACTTCATCCATCAAATCAGATCTGAGGTCTTTAGAGCACAGTTTGGAAAGCAGCTTCACAAATGGCCTGCGCTTCTCAGCATGCCTTTGCAAGTGATTAACAGAATAACAGAGTTGGAAGGGACCTTGGAGGTCTTCTAGTCCACCCCTCCCCATTGTCCAATCTCTTCTTAAAATCCTCCAGTGTTGGAGCACCCACAATATGTAGAAGCCAGTGTCTATGGAGATGCTTAGTCATCCAGGTCAGAACTGAAGGAGCTCCTTGGATGAAAAACGAAACATCTTCAAAGAAAAAAAAAGACCAGTTATCTTTTGAAAAAGCCTTTGGAACATCTGGAGGCAGGTTGTTCCACTGACTAATTGTTCTCACTGTCAGGAAATTTCTCCTTAGTTCTAGGTTGCTTCTCTCCTTGATTAGCTTCCATCCGTTGCTTCTTGTCCTGCTTTCTGGTGCTTTGGAGAATAGATTGACACCCCCCTCTTCTTTGGGGCAGCCTCTTGGCTATTGGAACACTGCTATCATGTCTCCCCTCGTTCTTCTCTTCATTAAACTAGACATACACAATTCCAGCAACCGTTCCTTATATGTTTTAGCCTCCAGTCCCCTGATCATCTTTGTTGCTCTTCTCTGCACTCTTTCCAGAGTCTCAACATCTTTTTTACATCGTGGTGACCAAAACTGGATGCAGTATTCCAAGTGTAGCCTTACCAAGGCATTGAAGAATGGTATTAACTCATTGCGTGATCTTGATTCTATCCCTCTTGTTAATGCAGCCTAGAACTACATTGTTGACTCCTGTATCATGGATGGGTATGTGAGGGACCAGAAAAATCTGTCTGGGGCCAGGCCAGACTGAGACTGGATCCAAGCACCGGCTGCAGACACCGTCAACCACATAGAGAATGCAATTGGTGCTCAGCCCCCAAGTGCTTAACCATGCTTTATTAAGTAAGCTGCCATTGGCGGCTTCCGCACAATACATTAAGCGATAAATACTGATATGTTCATCCGATCTGTGTTTGCCAAGCCTAACCCAGTGACATTTGCATTCAGTGCATTGCACGAACAAAGGCAGCCTCAACAGGCATCGCCATTTACACAAAGTTGCACCCCCAGCTTCTTTTAAAGACTCCAAAGAAGAGAGAGCTATAAAAGAACCAGCCTTCTCCCTCCCTCCCCCCCCCACACACACACCTTCCTTCTCCATTGTAAAAGCCTAGGACAGCCCTATAGAACATCCACCTATTGGCATTCAGGCCCCAAGGCAGGCTGGCTGCTGTGGATTAGCAGTCCTCTAAGTGAAGGCGATAAAGAATAAATATAGGATGCAGCATTGCCAGAATGGACTCTGTTCATTTATTTCTGACAAGTTTGAGTTTAGCGTTAATTATTCATCAGGTTTGCCGCGCATTGGAAAAATGTGCCACGGTGGGTTCTGTAAAAGGAAGGGGGGCACTCGAGCAGGAACCGGCATGTCGCGACACGGAGGGTGGGTGGGTGGCATCTTTGCAAGGGGGAAGGAGAAAGATTGGAGGGGGTAGGTGAGATTTCTATAAGGGAAACTGTTAAACCACTGCGGCATCTACCCTCAAGAGTGGCTCCGTAGACAGGGCTGAAGCAGAAGAAAAAACTGAACTATAGCTGGCTGAATAAATTGCAGTGGGGTGTGGATTCTTGCACCACATTAAGTCGTAAGCCACAGTTTAAAGTAAGCATCTTGTTGTGCACAAACAAGCAAAACACATTTTCTCTTTGCATATTGTGTGAATCTGCCCGGCTATCTCTCCAGGGTTTTTAGTTGGGTTTTTCTATAGGGGTTCCTCAAAGTGGAACTGGTGGCCTGGCCAAAGAAACATCCCTGATTAAAAAAAAAAAATCAAAAGATGAAAACAAAGCGAAACATAGCTTTTTCATAGAAATAGTAGCCCTCACCTGACAGGAACAGGATACCTGTCTATCTTCCTGATTAGGTGAACTGGTACCCCACAAGATTCTCAGGGAAATGAAGGGAGGAAGGAAGGAAGGGAGGAAGGAAGGAAGGAAGGAAGGGAGGGAGGGAGGGAGAGAGAAAAGAAAGAAAGAAAGAAAGAAAGAAAGAAAGAAAGAAAGAAAGAAAGAAAGAAAGAAAGAGGGAGGGAGGAGAGAGGGAGGGAGAGAGGGAGAGAGGAAGGAAGGAAACCAACAAGATTGCACATTTATTGCTTCAGTTCCCTCTGCACTCCAACTTCACTGACATTTAACCAACTTCCTAGCCTTAGCCCAACCTCACCTTCTTATGGGTCAAAGAAGCCAACGTTTTGGACTGCCGGAATCCATCCGAAAGTCCAGGTTCCAAGTAAAGCAGCCACATCCTGTCTCTCCCCCAGAAAGGACCCAAAGAGGATCCACTGGATGATCCTGCCGAGGAAATGAAATTGTTTACCAGCCCAGAAATATTTATTATAGCTAGATGGGAGCGTATGAGTTCATGCACGCCTCAGAAAGATGAGTGATGATGCCTCAAAATGGATAGTTTTCTCTCTCCCTGCGCCTGGAAACCCTCAAATGCAGCATTGGCACTTTGGGATTTTACGACAGGTTTAAATCAGAGCTTTTTAATGGCTTTTTTTTCAATCCAGAGGTGTTATTTTCGTAGGCGTCTTCTTCATGCTCTCCAGAATGGTTAACAACTGGAATGGACAGAGGTGACAAGTTCTTGGTTCTCCCCAGAGGAAGGTCACATAGTCCTCAGCTATGGGGAGGGAAGGATTGGAGGCGACTGGGGCCTCTCAGCCCCCCCCCCAAAATCTCCTTTTCCATGGGTCAACGGAAAGTTCTGTCTGCTTTCAAAAACAAAAAAGAATCAATTCATTGACGCTTCCTGTCTTTTGGACTCTCAAGAATAGGCAAGAATCCATTCTATTTTCTACTGCCGGATTTCTCCTCCTGGAGACTCTTGTTCTTAAGTCCAAAAAAACTGCACTTAATTAGCAAACATATTTGCTTTGGCCTGGGACTCCCTTCCTGCTCCAGAATGACAAACTAAAAACTTTTTGCATTCCACACCGGTTAAAAAAAAAAAAAGAAAAGAATCAAAATTGATAAAAAGGCAGAGTTGGATTTATAAACTTCCAAATAAATGAACGGGATTAACAATTAACAGGACAAAGAAGACTGCAACAGTCATTTCAAGAGGATTGGGTTCAATTTATGACGGTAATGGAGCTTCCCAGTTACAGTCATACGTCAAGACAGTCGTAAAGCGGGTCCTTGTGTGACCAACCAGATGTTCCACTTTGTTCGGTGGCAACTATTTGTTTGGTTTTGGCGTTGTGATGCTTGTGGCCAGGAGGCATCCTTGAGGATCATGCAAAGTGAGAAGAACCCAGCCAGGCGGACAGACCTTGTTATGCTAACCATGGCTTAGCATAATGAATAGGCCCATCTCGGAGAGCGTGGTCTGATTCATCGACTGCTTTGATTTATATTCAACCTTTGGAAGTCCACTGGATATCAAGTGAAACCATTTATTTCAGCCATAAGGGCAGAAAACAGCAAAACAAAACCTACAAGGTGGAGAGGGGGAAGAGAAAGGGAGAAAGAGAGAGAGGGAAAAAGATAAAGTGAAAGAACAAGAGGGAAAGAGAGAGGGGGAGGAGAGAAAAAGAGGGAGAGAGAGGGGGGAAGAGAGAGACAGAGAGGGAAAAAGAAAGTGAAAGAGCTTGAGGAGAGAGAGAGAGAGAGAGAGAGAGAGAGAGAGAGAGAGAGAGAGAGAGAGATCTGGCCTGTTTCAACTCTGCAAAAAAAACGAGAGAGGGGAAAAAAGGAATCTGAAAGAGATGGAAGGAGGTAAAAAAAAAAAGGCCTGGAGAAGTGTGATCACACATTGCCATCCCTCTGAAGGCTTTTGCTTTTGCTTCTAGACATAGCTGTCATTTCATACTAGGCTCAAGAAAGAAAAAGTCATTGCCTACAGCTCTTCCATCTCACTCTCTCTCTTTCTCTTTTCTTTCTCTTTCTTTCTCTCACTTTTTTCTTTCTTTAGCTCTTTTTCTCTTTCTCTCTCTATCTCTGTATGTCTCTCTCATCTATCTCATTTGTCTATTTCTCTATTATCTATCTCTTTCTTTTCTCTTTCTCTTTCACTCTCTTTCTTTTGTTCTCTTTTTCTCTTTCTCTCTTTCATCTATCTCATCATCTGTCTCTCTATCATCTCTCTCTTTCTCTCTCTTTTTCTCTGTGTCTATCTCTGCTCTCTCTTCTCTCCCATCGTCTACCTCTCTATCATCTCTTTCTCTTTCTTTCTTTCTTTCTCTTTCTTTCTTTCTTTCTTCCTCTCTCTCTCTCTCTCTCTCTCTCCATCTCATCCCTTGTTAGCACTTTGCTAGCAAATCTTCCTTCACCCCCCCCCCATCTCTGTTTTGCCCCCTTTTAGGCAATCATAGCTCATCAAAATAATAATAACAATAGTCAAATAATAATTGGGTTTTACAGGAGGATTGAATATCTGGCCCAGATAGCTCAGCTGTTTTCTCTGGACAATCTTCCCTGTCAAGCTTGCTGGTTTTTATTTATTTTGGGGGGGGGGGAGCCACTTACTGTTATCTTTTCTTTTTTAAGAGACCTGCCTGAACATTTCTGAGTCTTTTTTTCTTTTTTCTTTTTCTCCTTATTTTTTTGGGCAGCAAACCCAGCATTTCTCATATGAGGAAGAATCAAGTTTGCTGTGCTCCAATTGCTGCTTATGTTTGTTTTGCTTCATGGTGCCGAGTTTTTTTCTAGCAGTCTCCAATTTCCAGGAAGTGCCCAATTTATTTGGCATTCTACATCGTGTGTATCTTTGGGGCCAATTCATTTTTACTCTATTGGGATTCTGATTCCATTTATGTTTTTTTTTTTAAGTTTCATGCGTGTAAATATTTGTGCAAAGGTTTGCCTCCAGTTTTCTTGAATGTATGTTCTATTTACAGATAAACTAGATTTAGCAACCCCAGCTCGTCAGATTTGTACAGAGTGCCCAAATGTTATCTGCAAACCAGAATGACAGTCTTCGTCTGGATGCTGAGTTCAAGTGACATGCATTTATTCATTTTCGTCATTAAATTGATTTGCCATCATTTGACAAAAACCCAAAGGATCAAACATCATTGTTTAAGTGAATCCCTGCAGTCGGTAAGTGAATCACACCGTCCTTAAGCGAATCCAGCTCCCCCCCCCGCATTGTCTTTGCTGGTTAGAAGCCAGCTGGGAAGGTGGCAAATGGCGATCACGTGACCTCGGGATGCTGCAACCATCTTAAATAGATGTGGAGTTGCCAAGCATCCAAATTTGGATCTCGTGATCATGGGGATGTTGCAATGGTCGTAAATCCGAGGACTGGTTCGTAAGTTATTTTTTTCAGTGCCCTTGTAACTTCAAGCAGTTGCTAAACAGACGGTTGAAATCGTGCACTGCCTGCATTCTAGAAAACCCAGCAAATGTGTTTGACATTAATGGGTTAATAAATAGCAGCCTCATTCAGTTAAATATGTCTAGTCTAGTGCAAAGAAGGACTAGGGGGGACACTAGCAGTATTCCAGTATTTGAGGGGCTGCCCCAAAGAAGAGGAGAGTCAAGCTCTTCTCCAAAATGCCAGAGGGCAAGTCAAGAAACAATGGATGGAAACTAATCAAGGAGAGAAGCAACCTAAAACTAAGGAGAAATTTCCTAACAGTGAGGACAATTAACCAGTGGAACAACCTGCCTCCAGAAGTTGTGGGTGCTCCATCACTGGAGGTTTTCAAGAAGAGATTGAACAATTTATCTGAAATGGTACAGTGGGGGTTGGACTGGAAGATCTCCAAGGTCCCTTCCAATTCTGTTATTCTGAATTTCTGGAATGACGAGCACCCCAAATCTCCATCCGGAAACAAAGGATCCTTATTTCTGTTTCTCCCCCAAAAGAAAATGATGGAGCATGGAAAGCAGATATGCAAATCCTTTATAACCAAGAATTAAACCGGCTGACACGGCACCTGTCATCTGCAAATGTAACACTCTTTACACATGTAAACATTCTCTTTATGTCCAGATTGTATTTGAAAAAGGTTAGGAAGTTGATGGGGGAAAAAAAATCTACATCCTTGAATTTCAAGTCCTCAAAAGTCGGCCTCTTGTTTATCTTCTCTTTCATTTATACAGCAGGCTACGTTTCTCTGGCTTTCCCTTCAATTTGCAAACTGTAAATTTATCATTTTTCTTGGCCAGCTGCATTTACTCCTGAGAGGACAAAGTCAGCATACAAATATTTCAAGCAAATAATTTTGGGAAGAGTGGGGGGGGCTTCCTCTCTTCTTCCTTGCTGGATTGAGAGGATTGAAAAACAAGAGTTGGAAGGGACCTTGGAGGTCTTCTAGTCCAAACACCCCCACCCCCACCCCCACACCCCCCCCCCCCCCCGCTCAAACAGGAGGCACCATATCATTTCACACAGATGGCTATTTAATCTCTTCTTAAAAACTTCCAGTGTTTGGAGCATTCACAACTTCTGGAGGCAGGTTGTTCCACTGATCAATTGTTCTCACTGTCAGGAAATTTCTCCTCAGTTCCAGGTTGCTTCTCTCCTTGGTTCATTTCCATCCGTTGCATCTTGTCTTCTGCTTCTTGTCCTGGTGCTTTGGAGAATAGCGTGACCCCTCTCTTCTTTGTGGCAGCCCCTCAAGTACTGAATTCAACTGTCATATCCCCCTTAATCTTTCTCTTCATAAGACTAGACATACACGGTTCCTGCAACCATTCATCATAATAACAGAATAACTGAGTTAGAAGGGATCTTGGCGGTCCTTTACCTCTTCCCAGTTCCTGCCAGGTCTAAGTCCTTCATGAGGGCCTTCATGACCATAGATGATCTTCTCAGGTCTTCCAACCATGTCAACAAGTTGTATAACTCCCAACTCTATGCTTTTTCCCTCCTCTTTGTAATTACATGGAAATCTGATTACATTGACCTCTAATTAGGGGTCATTAAAATGCCCCAGGTCCTTGGCTTTCTGGATTCTTTTTCTTCATCTTCTTCTCTTCCATTTAAGATCAGATTTCAAGGTCTACTTAGGAGACTTTCTGTAGATCCATCTGCAATATATCTAGAGGAGTTTTTCAGCATCTCCATCTCTCCATTCAACCTCTCTCTGCCCCTCCCTTCCCCTCCCCCCCCTTTCAGCTCAGGTCAATAATTTTAATAGAGGTGAACATTTGGGAGGGGTGAGCTTTTCTGTTTCACTTTGTTAGTAAGCTTTTGGAAGTTTAATGGGCTGCCCTCTGAAGTGTATAATTGGTGCTGGTGGCAGGAAGCCAAATAGTTGTGTATTTTTTTTTAAAAAAAAAGGGAAGAGAGAAACTACTTGAAGCACCAACATGTTTTCCTCTTTATTTTATTTTATATTTTATTTTATTTGAGCTACATTCCTTTCCACTACAGCCCCGGGGAAATAGCACCAGCTGAGTTTCAAAATATGTTCTGCTCTTGCCTGTTTTATTTTGTTTTTCACAACTCTTTTTTTCTTTGGGATGCTTCTTCATTTAACAGGTGTCCAGGATGCTTTGAAAAAACCAGGAGGTGACTATAGAAAAGTAAACCAGGAGTTTGCACAATTCTTGCAGGGGAATAATAAATGGTTATAAGCAGGGAGAATGAGGATGACCTTATCTCTGGGCGGCAATACTCAAAGGGACCATCAGGGAGCAGCGGATGCACAGAAAATGTCAGTCCATTGCTGCCCTCCAGTGGTTGTTCAGATGTTTGCAGCCCGGATAGACACTGACTTTAGAAACCTAGAAGCAGCCCAGACAATAGGGTGAAGAAGACCCAAGAAACGGATGCAAACCGCCATTAGAAATTATAGTGATTTACTGTGCAATTCTCTCCACCATCCCTTAGATACTCCCAGTATCCCTTGTCATCGTGGCCACCGGCCAGTGATGGAGTGGCTGGGAACCCTGGGAGTTGGGATCCCAGGACATGTGAAAGGTTGACAAAGGTTGCGATCAAAGAGCAAAGCGATGGTACTGGATGCCTCCCAATCAATTCTCTTCACTATCTGCCGCGTGGGGAATCAGCCGAGCCAAAACAAGAGAATATGAAAGGTTGACAAAATCTTATCAACAATGTCAGTCCAGGACCTTCATCCTCTAGCCAACAGCTCTGAAAAACATCCGGCCAGCTTCTCTGGAACCCCTCCAGGGGAAAACGGCTTGGCACTGCTGGGCTCACAAGGGCCGATCTGCTTTGTGTTGCAAAGGTTACATCTACAAAGCATTGTCAAAACATTACAAAGAGGTGGGCGCTGTAAATAGTGGTTTGTTTCAAAGAACTGGCCCCAGAAAGCCAAACCGCCATTGTATTGCCATGAAGTCAACATAAAGATGGGGGTCCATAAAGTCCCATTCAACCCCCTCCCCTCCCTTTCTCCTTTAAGACAAAGCTCCGGTGTTTTTTGTCGAGAACAAAAGCTGGGAGATACAAATACTGTCAGGGAGAGAGGCGGGGGGGGGAAACTGATTAATAGGATGGCAAACACAGAGAAGGTTGATCTCTAAGCAGCTGAGAAGTGGAATCAGGCAGCAGGAGATCCACTGAACTTATTAAAACAACTAAAAGGTAGGAAACATAGAGATAGTCCTTGACTTATGACCGAAACTGAACCCAACATTTCAGCCAAACCGTTGCTAAATGATTTTTCCCCCATTTTGCGACCTTTCTTGCTATAGCTGATAAGTGAATCACTGCGGCAGCTACGTTAGTTATGCAGTCGTTAAATGAACCTGGCATCCCCCATGGACCTTGCTTGTCAGAGGGTCGCAAAAGGGGATCACGTGAGCCACTGGGACTATGCAACCGTCATAAATATGAGCCAGTTGCCAGGGCATCCGGATTTTGATCACATGACCGTGGGGACGGTGCAACGGTCATAAGAATGAAAAAACGGTCAGAAGGGCTGCTGTAACTTCCAACGGTTACTAAACGAGTTGCTTTAAGTCAAGGACTGCTTGTGTTTTGGGATGAAGTGGTAGCAGATAGCTTCGTTGGGGTTACATTTCGTCGGCGCCAAGCGGGAGGCTGGGCTTGATGACCTCAAGGGCGCCTTTCAACTTTGCTGAGTGAGTAACTCCCAAGGCAATCAGCCACCATACCCCAGCTGTTCCCCCCTTGCAGTTTTCACCCAGGAAATAGAGAAGTGGTCCAGGGCTCAAAGGACCAAATCTTGAATTAGAACATCAAGTGTGTGTGGGGGGGGGAGGTGTTTCTCGCTGGGTTCCTCAAATATTATTTTTGTTTTTGTTTCATGTTTGTGTCATTTTGTACTTGAAAACTGCGGGTGTCTCTACCCGTCTCGTCTGCCCTGCTAACTTCATCATCAGCAAACCGCTAATTAAATTCCATATTTATGATTGGAGAATAAAATCATTGGACCCATTTAGAATAAATTTTTACGACTTTGCACTCAGCCTGCTGACTCAGCAAGCGGAGACAATGCTTGACTTGTAAGACTTCACGGGAAACATGAAATGACAGGTCCAAAATCTCACCCTGTTTCTCTGCCATCTTCTTCTTCCCCCACCCCCCCCCACTTCTAGAAACCAACGATAAAGTGAGCATCCTCCTAGGTCCTCACTAAGTGTCCTCATTTAGTGACTACAGTTGGGACTGGCGTTAAGCGGTCACTAAGAGGAACTGATTTGACTTCACTTTCCTTTGCTTTACTACAACTATGAAAGTGGTCAGTCCGAGGATTAAGTCACCCAGGGACTTTTTCAGCGCTACCGTCACTGCAAATGAGGCAGTCACTAAACGAGGGACTGGGCCATTACGCATAAGATTCCAATACTGTCAGCCATCTCCATGGATTTGAAGCCTGTTGCTGTTCCAAATAAAAACCATGCATTTGGATTGCAAGCGCAACCCTCATCTTTTCTGAGAACTTTTATCATCAGAGATTTTAAAAAATCAGGTTTCTAGTCCTCGTGATGATACGAGAGCCGTAAAAAAGTGATTTGCAGCAAATATCTCACAATGCGAAGCAGACTTTGAGAGATTGTCAGCCAAGGAAGGGTGTGTGTGTGTGTGTCTCTTGTTAACATCCGATGCACTTCCTCTTTCTTTGCGATGAACAAAACACAGAGTGAAATATGCAAATAATAAACAAAACACTGAGTGGAATTTTCTTGAGCAGAATTTTTGCTCAACTTCTGTTAGCATCTGATGTACGCTTGGAAACTTCTCATTCTGGGTGACAGGATGAGCCTCTTTTGCAACTGACTAGAGACCAGACCAGGGACTGACTTTTAGGAAGTTCTGAAGTTGACCCAATGCTCAAGGACAGGGTTAGATAATGTTCCTTAATGTCCACCCAAGACTTGTGCAGACAGCTCCTTTCCAGGGTAAACAGCAAAGCAGGCATCCATCAAATTGTCCTCTCCCCATCAAAGTGTCTGCTGTCCCAAAGTCTTGCTTGGTTGGTCCTACCAGAAGACCTGCCAACGGGTTTCGGAGCCCTTTCATCATGGAGCAGGAGAAGGTTCTCAAAGACTGAGTGGATTTAAGTTAGCTTGGCAAATCCATCTGAGGTCTACAACCTGTTCCTCCAAGTTTCTCTGTTTAGTTTAAGATGGTCATTTTCCAGAGGTCCTTCTTCTCAACCCACAACCCATTTGCAGCAGTTGGACCTTCCCCTTTGCTCTTTCTCCCTTAAAGGTGAGCAGAGGACTCCTACACAACACTTCCTTTCTGCTTCTCACAGGAGGAACTGTGCTGAGAACCATCTCTGAGCTGAAGAGAAGGGGAAGTGAGGCAGGCTGGGCCTTCCCTTCCTGCTATAAATAGGCCCCAGGTCTACAAAGGATCGCGAGGGGGGTAGGCGGCTGTTTCCGGAATCATGCTGCATCGCCCTACAGTGCCCTGTGCCTTGGAAGGACACCCACAAGGCAGGAGGAAGGCTGGTAGTTGGCAACTCTCACAGGAGAGATAAAGAAATCCGTGGAGCGGCTGGCAAAGGTGGTCTTCAACTGGTCCAGAAGCAGAAGCTGCTGGTACTCAGCTTACGGGACGCAGCTATCCACAGACTTCCGGCGGAGATTGAAGGTAGGGTCCTTGAGTTCTTGAGTTCCTTGAGTGGTTTCTCCCCAGTGGAGAATCTGGGGAAAACACTTGGTCCTCCCCACCCCTTTGTGTCTTGGTGAAGAGATCCGGTGACACAATCCTGGGGCCACTGAAGGCTGTCTGGATATTTTGAATTACCAACCAGTCATTCTTTGACCTTGGGCATGTTTGCTGGGGGAAACGGGAATCAAAGTCACAAGTCCTCCTCTTCAGTCTTAGCAAGATGGGAAGTCCTTCAAACCTCCCCATGAAAGGTTGGAGAGATCTTGCTGATGTTGAAAGCTCAGCCCTTTTCCTGTCCAACAGGCATCCATTGCTCTCCAGGAATCCGGTCCATTGGTGAGTAGTCATGGCCATAGACAAGGGGATCTTCCTTGGCAAAGAAACTGGGGTGGGCAATCTTTGTTAAAGTGACTTCTTAATGCAGACAGAAAGTCTCCTTCCAAAGAGTTGGTTGGGTCCAGGTCAAGGAATTAGGCAGGAGCAGGTCAAAATGTGCTGCCCTTTTCATATTAATTTCATCCACCTTCAGTTCCTTTTATTCCTTTTATTCAGTCAGTTAATAGCTTGCTCTTCCGGTGCTTCACTTGTTTCTTTCACTTGCTTGATAAAATGCAATTGGACCACAACTTTCAAAGAGGCTGTGATAGATGGAGATGGCACTTAAGAGGTTTGGGGTCTCCTATAAGCCTTGGAGACTCCAAGCTGTTGACCCCTGCAGAAAAGATGGAAGGACACCATCCTTGAGGTTCTTGAGATGAATTTCCTCAAACGGGTGTGTGTGTTTATGACCTGGAATTGCAATGTACACAATTCCTAAGGCACCCTTGATTTTTCTGAACATTAAAAAGCTTTCTAGTTCTTGTTAGTCTGACTCCTAGTTGTGAGCTGGTTAGTTGACTTCATGGAGGGTTTGACTTGCCTCCTGACCCCTTGACATCCCCATTTAGCTGTGCGGAGTCCCAAAAGAGCTGCAGGACCCAAGATCAGACCTGGGATGTGCATGGATGTCTATGGAGAATCTCAGTCATCCAGGTCACGGGTATCCCAAAGGTGCTTTTTCAGAAGGCATCTGGACTTTGTTTTTCCTTAAAGACTTTTTGTTTCTCATTTTTCAGTTCTAACTGAACTGAAATCAGAACCGAAGCAGCTTCTTGGATGAGAAGTGAAAAACATCTTCAAGGAAAAACAAAATCCAGTTGCCTTTTTGAAAAAAGCACCTTTGGGATATGTGTGGGTGTAGACCTCCAGATTGGAATACCTACGTTGGCCAGAAGGACTTACTCAAAGTGCCCGAGAAGGCCACAAAAGTTTGTTTCTCCTACACAAAACAGATAGTGACATTATAAGTGGCTTGTGATGTTTTTTTTAAAAAATTATTTTAATTTATTAAATGTACATGCCACCCCTCTCATGAATAAGGTGTTCCAGAGTTCTAAGTTCTGGAATTTGATGTTGGATGTTGCTGCAGCAATTGGTTTAGTTTACCTTTTTGTTACATTAACTTTGTTTGGATTGTGCTGCCTTCTCAGAGGTTTAATGCAGGGATTTCCCAAGAAAATAAGCTAAAAAATTAGCTGTGAGAAAGCAAAACCTCACCACCTCAGCATCTGGCAGAAAAACTCAGAGGACGAGAAGGGAAATTAATTAATTCTGGAGTCTTGCTTCCGTACCGAACACTGTCCCTTTGGTTATTTTGTCAGAAAAATCCTTGCAGATTTCAAAAGCAAAATTTTCTCTATACCCTTTTCACCATTAGCATAATTCCTACTCACCCCCATCCTTTTGTTTGACAACAACAAGGTTGTGTGTATGTTTACATGTGCATAGATTAAAGCTCTTATTAAATGTGAATCTTTCATCTTCCTGTTTGCAACTCCTGGAGTCACTTTAAATTGAGGCATTCCATCTCTGCAGTGAGTTATTAAAATTATTATCCCATCAGTTTAATTTGCATGCCCTGAGCTAATTTTAATCTTGAAAATACCCAGATCAGATCTGAAATCTTGATTCTCTTCATCTCTCTGCCTGGGTGTGCATTCTCATGTTCTACTTTTTCCAGGTGCTGCTTCCCATCTTGCAATTTTTTTCCTCCTTTCTCCTATGTGGGCTTATTCTGAACATCAAATTTGGGCTCTTGTAAGGAAGGGAAATGATATGACAAGCATCGATTAGATCCGTGTTTCCCAGAATTCCCAGAATTCCCCAGCCAGCTTCAATTCTGGGAGTTGAAATCCACACTTTTAAAAGTTGCCAAGGTTGAGAAACATTGAGTTAGGTCATTCTGCAAATGCAAGTTATGTAACATGCATGCTGATATTGCCCCTCCTCCCCTCATCTCATTGTAGCTTCTACTGGATGTCTACACACATGTTGTGTATGACACATGGATTCAGATAATCCTTGACTTACAATCATTCATTGGGAAACCATTCAAAGTTACAATGGCAGTGAAAATTGTGACTTATGTCCAGTTCTTTCATCATTTCCTCTAGTCTTCTTTTTTTATATCCTTCCTTTGAAAATGGATGGCTTTTAAGCATCCATCTAAGCAAGTTCCCCACTGAACAGGCTCTGTGGTTGGCAAATCTCTCTGGTCCATTTTCCTTCTGTTGCCCATTGGATTTTGAGGTGCACCATAGAAATTGTTCTGCATTCCCCCTGCCCGTTGTTTTTTAGGCCTTTCACAAGTTGTGTAAGTGAGTCAAAATGGGCAAAATTCCATGGGCTTTTCAATTCTAGAAATCCAGTTATTTTTTTTTTCACTTGAGTTGAGTTGACTTGGCTTGGCTTGAGTTGACTTGACTTGACTTGAGTTGAGCTAAGTTGAATTGATCTGAGTTGATTTGACTGTCCATCAATACTAACCATGACTTTGCTATGGCTAAACCAGTGTTTCTCAACCTTATGCACTTTAAGATGAGTGGACTTCAACTCTCAAAGCTGGCTGGGGAATTCTGGGAGTTGAAGTCCAACCGTCTTAACAGGGACCAAGGTTGAGAAACACAGAGCTAAACTACAGCTCCCAGCCATCACGGACAATGGCAAAGGATGTTAAAAGTTGTAGCTCAGCAAGATAGTGAGAGACACAGGTTCTCACAGTATGATGTGCACATTCAACCAGTGTGGTCATAAACCATCATTCATGTTTAGAGTTCTGTCTTAATTGGGCCAGGCTGCATTGAGGTTGAGTGACCCAGAGTTAAAACCACTTTTTTTCCCAGGCAAATCTGGGGATTTCAACTTGAATCTTAAGTAAAGAGAAGGCAGCGTTTTGTCACAGTGGAAGTCTCAAACTCATGCGCTATGGTGGTGCCCTGTCAGTTGGCAGAACCTTCTCATCCTGACAAGTGAAGGAATAGTCTGAAAATGGGACTTTCCAGTTGCATTATTGCTTGCTGCAGATTAGCAGAGAGGAAGTTGAGAGCAGAAAAAGGCTGGATCCATCTCCTCCTCTGTGCCGTACAATTTTCACCGAAGCCTTTTTTTAAAAATTGCCTCTCTTTCCTGTGGGCAAGGTGACAATCCTCCCTCTCTGGCAGGAAGTTAAACGTTTGGCGTGTTTTACAGGTGGGACTTAATCTCTTAGGAAGGACAAAACCCTCTGAAATCTAGTGAACCCCTTTCCGGATCATGGCAGGTATTCTTTCCCTTTATTTTTATATTTCCTTTTCAAGTTTGCTTAATGTCCGGTGGGTTTATCTGGGACACCTTCATGCTATTAGGGAAGGGCGAGCTGCTCAGAGCACAAACCATTGAAAGTTGTGTGTGTTCAGAAAATGCACGCGCAAACACACTTGGAGAGCTTTGATAGAGATTATTCTCAGGGCTACAAAGTGTTAAAAAAAAAAAACAACCTAAAAGCTCCTTTGTGTTCAGCTCAATTCCTGGTCATTCATTAATAGACCTATCCTAGTTTCCATAAGAACAGTGCAGAAGTGGGTTTTGCTCCTATTTTCCCAGTCCCTATGATGCCCCCTAAGATGGCCTGGCATTTCCACCTCCAAATATAAACCCGGTTTGATTCTGCTTGGCTTCTAAACCTTGGCAAGGTTAGAAATGTACTGACATCTCCAGAGTCGGTGAAACGGGCTTGTTTTAATAGAATAGAATAGAACTGGAAGGGACCTTGGAGGTCTTGTAGTCCAGCCCCCTGCTCAAGCAGGAGAACCTATACTGTCTCAGACAGGTGACTGTCCAGTCTCTTCTTGAAAATCTCCAGTGATGGAGCCACCCACGATTTCTGGAGGCAAGCTGTTCCACTGGTTGATTGTCCTCATTGTCAGAAAGTTTCTCCTTAATTCCAGGTTGCTTCTCTCCTTGATCGAGCAGATCCTGCTTCTGTCTGATTCTTCAGAGTGACATTCTTTTTCTCCCCTTTCGTGACGTTGAAACCCAGGAAAGGCAAAACTTGTGGCTAGTTGTGTTCAGACCCAGGAAGGCCAAGTTTTATTTGTGGGTGACTTATTTGCACAGCAGTCCTCTTTCTTCCTTGTTACGAAAAGCAGATAGCCAGGATTTGGGTGGCTGCCCAAACTTCCCTTCTTTTCATTCTCCTTTTTCAAAGCCTGCATGAGATAAACTGGGGGTGTCATTTCCTGACATTTTACTCACTTCTTCCGTCAGCTTCATTTTGCTATGCTGGCCGGTTTCCGGCAAAGAAGGAACTTGTGAAGACTTCAGCTGGCTTATGAATGGTTCCCCCAAACTTATCTTTCCTCCAGAAGGTGCCACCCCAAAACTGAGCATCCCAAATTTTTGTCTTTACACCAACGATCAGAAAGACCAGATAGACGTTGTGCAGAATGAGACTTTTGTGCTCAGGATCATGTCGTCTTTCTTTCCAGATCTCCTCAGGACACAATCTTTGTAATTAGGACTCCTTGGGACACAATCTTTTCCTGCAAAATTAAGATTACTTTGTACAATAATCCTGTTGGGAGGGGAAAAAACAGTAAACTCTTTGCTGTTGCCACAATCTGAACCTTTCAAAGCCCTGCACAGGTGAACTCCGGGCTTTGGCCCCGCTCAGCCCACCCGGATAACTTCACATCTGCAGTTGGGGAAACGGTGCCAGGAGGTTTCCATGACACACGGGCACTTGAGACAATGTCGTGTCATCCCTGAAGTGGCACTCAAATCAGAGCCTGCCAGAATAAGTGTGATAAAACCCATGTATGTTGTAGCTATTTAAAAACTCCCATTATGATGGGTGAAAGCAAAGGCGGGGGGGGGTGTATTTTGCAAAAGAGGAGGAGAGAGGAGGGAGATGGAGACAAGCAAGAACTTGAAGTTGATCAGATGGGATGAAGAACTAAGCTTTCCTTTAAAAAACCCAAGTATCCGATTGGCATCTTCACAAATGCTTTGATTCCTTCTCTTAAAATGCCGAATAACAACTTTGTACGTGTTTTGGTCATGTGGTTATCCCTAGTTTTCAGGAAACTGGGGAAATTGAAAGACCACAGCAATTTAGCTAAGCAAACGCTGACAGAATCATCTCTCTGCTTCAATTTTTCTATATTTCTGTCTGATGTGCAAGTATTCGCTCTATTTTCTTTGTGCTTAAGGGTATTAATTCCCAGAGCTGTTTTCTTTATTTGCACCATACAAGTAGTCCTTGACTTAAAAACAGCTCATTTAGTGACTGTTCAAAGCTACAACAGTACTGAAAAAAGTGGCAAGAAAGGTGATAAAACGGGGCAAAACTCACTTAACAACTGTCTTGCTTAGCAACAGAAATTCTGGACTCAAATGTCGTCGTAAGTCGAAGACTTCCTATACATTCCTTTCTAGGATTCAACCCCAAACATAGCATCACGGCACACAAAGAATTCTCCCATTCACATCCCCAATCTGGCCTCGCAACATTTCTTTTACATTTACCCATGAATATATCAAACAACCAAGGAGACACCGAATCTCTCGTCTTACTTACTCTCTGCTCAGGACAGGTTTCTGCTAAGCCATCCCTTAGCTTCATGTCTGCATTATTTCTATCATCACAGCTTCCATCAGCCAACATTCAACACACACACACACCCCGTGGATGCAAAACCTTCCATAATTCATCGTGTCTCTAAAGCCTCAAATGGGCTGTCCTTTTTTATAAGCCATGGTTTGCTGGATAAACAACAGATGGCTGGCTCTGCAGCCTCTGTCGTTGGTTAACCCGTGTTTGTGGCTAGGACAATATAGAAGCTGGGACCCAGTCAATTTTGCCTCCTTGTGGCATCGATCCAAATAAAGCAGCAGTCCGGGTGGGGGGGGAAATAGCTGTTAATAATTTGCAAAGAAGTGCGGTGGGTTCTGTAAGATAACCAGCTGACGGTGGCGAGGGTTTTCTGCTGGAATGGATGCTGGCACTAGCGATGATTTCTCTGCTTACGGTTTCATTTATTTGTAACAACCACAGGGCCGGTGTGAGGCTGTTTAGCATCACCTCCCAGTGCTTATGACCACAGCTGCATCAACAGTGAATATATTTTCTTTGGCCCATGGTGATCTTCCTTGCACTCCAGTCACTTATCTTCATGACTCCTTCTTCTCCTCTGTGTAAATGCCAACATGGTGCTTGCTGCAAGCGTTAGTTGCTGGCCTGTTTTACTTCGGGGAGGGTTCCTGCACCTGTACATAGACCAGATTGTCAGAGCGATGCCAGAAAGAATTGGCAGTGAGAGACAATTTAAGAGGAAGTTCTCATGTTCTAATATCTTTCTCACCTTCCCTACTACCCCCTCTTTTTAGTATCATGATTATGATTATTATTACTCTGTCGCTTTGCATGTGCACTAAGAGCTTCTGCACCAGAGATAAATTCCTTGTGTGTCTAATCATACTTGGCCAATAATTTCTCTTCTCTTCTCTTCTCTTCTCTTCTCTTCTCTTCTCTTCTCTTCTCTTCTCTTCTCTTCCCTTCCCTTCCCTTCCCTTCCCTTCTCCTCTCCTCTCTCCCTTCCCTTCCCTTCGTCTATTCTGTTCTGTTCTGTTCTGTTCTGTTCCGTTCCGTTCCATTCCATTCTATTCCATTCCATTCCATTCTATTCTAATCCTTATTCTATTCTGTTCTGTTCTGTTCTGTTCCATTCCGTTCCTTCTACTCTGTTCTTGCTAGCTTGATGTTTGCTGAGCTCTGTGAAGCAATTCCTTCTCTCTTCCTGTTACTCCTGCTTTCTGGGCAATACAGAATTAGGACACAAACAGGTAGTCTTGTGTGTTGCCCTCTGAACAAAGGGTTGGAAGCCATCCTTCAAAGACTATCTTCATTCATAAAACCTGGATCTCTAAGCTATCATAGCTTGTGGCCTCAGTCTCCTGGCTTTGCACACCACTTGTCTAAGTACAAGACGTTCACCATGTTCTTTTGAGGCATCCATTGATTTTCTAGGTTGTCTTTGTAAGTCGCCTGCAATGTAGGTTAGCCTTTTTCCTCCGTTAAGTAAAAAGGAAAAAAAAGCTGTTTCTGAAAAAAGAGGCATGCAGTTGCTGTTTGGCGATGCAATTTTGAGAGAACGGACGTGGTCTCTAAAAAGTGCACTTCAGATTATAGTTGAGAAACCGGTCGTAAAAAATTAATGAAGGGCCGTCCTTAATTGCAATCTAAAAATACTTGTTCAAAGGGAAAGAAAAAACACATGGAAATGGTGCCTTTTATTTTTCAAAAGGAAAGAGGAGCTGGGTGTTGAACTTTGGAAGGAGATGGTTCTTTGCTGTGAGGTAAAGCATCAGGGCTTCATGGGATGAAAATACATAGAATCCATGCAAGTTTATGCCCTACTAAAACTTTGCTCAGTTGCCTCCCTTCAACTGGCAGCTTTCAAATTTGTGGGGGTTCATAAGCCTTTTTCTGGATAAGACGTGGGATCTTTCCTGGACCCAAACTGACCTTCCTTGTCTCTCCATCTTCTTTTAGGGGAGAAGCGTAGAAAAATGGACGAGTGTCTTGAAACCCTGAAGGATGAAGAGGAGGCTCTATGGGAGAACGTCGAATGCAATCGTCATATGTTGACCCGTTACATCAACCCCGCCAAGCTGACCCCGTATCTGCGCCAGTGCAAAGTCCTGGATGAACAGGATGAGGACGAGGTCCTCAACTCCCCGATGCTCCTCTCCAAAATCAACCGAGCTGGTAAGACATGGGAGCCATGGAAGCCCCCAATCAGACATGATGACAAGATCGTTGTGTCACTACTTTCCAAGAAAGATTGATCTGCTGATTTTGGGTGGGCTTAGAGCTGTTGATCTGGGAAAGAGTCCTTCTGATCCTATGAGGTCAGGGCTGGGCAATATTAAAAGGAAAGGGCGAGCTTCAAAAAGACAGTTTATGCAGAATCTATTGAAAACATTGGAGAACTGTAGGCATTGTCTAACAAATATTTATAGATCAGTCAATCAGAATAGAGTTGGAAAGGACCTTGGAGGTCTTCTAGTCCAGCCCCCTGTTCAAGCAGGAGAACCTATATCATTTCAGACAAGTGATTGTCCAATCTCTTCTTTAAAACCTGCAGTGATGAAGCGCCTACAACTTCTGAAGGCCAGCTGTTCCACTGGTTAATTGCTCTCACTGTTAGGAAATTTCTCCTTATTTTTAGGTTGGATCTGTCCTTAACAAGCTTCCAGCCATTACTTCTTTTCTTGCTTTCTGGTGCTTTGGAAAATAAATTGCCCAGTCCATAGGAAGGACTGGGATTCACAGCCCCCTGGTTTCTAGCCTAGTGCCTTTGACCACCATCAATAGCTCAGGGTTGAACTGTGGGGTCCTTGGTGCTTTCTGAGCTTGGTTCTTTTCTTGAAGACCTTTCATGACCCAAGTAGGCAACATCATCAGTGCTAGAAGGGATAATAAACAGAGAGCAAGCCCCACTCCCTTCTAGCACTGCTGATGTTACTTAGTTGGGTCATGAAATGTCTGCAAGAAAACAACCAAGTTCAGAAAGCACCAAGGACTCCACAGTTCTCCTCCTCCTCCTCCTCCTCCTCCCTGCAAATCCCACTCCCTTCTACCACTGAGGATGTTACTTATTTGGGCAATGAAATACCTGCAAGACAAGAGCACCAAGTAACCACTCTACCAGATCAGTTATCTCCAGAAATATTAGCAGTACAATGTATAAAGTTGTAATCTTAACCAACCAGAAATCAAGTTGGAGAGATTGAGCTACGCGGAGTAAAAGTTTCAGACTGCTGCACCAGCCTTCCTTGGAGATACGATACTTACTCACTCTTTAGCTAAGCCTTTAAAGGTCAATTAGTTTATCATTCAGGTTTTATTACAATTGCCTTTATTTTATCCTTGGAAACTGTAAAATCCATCTTAAATGTTAATTTTTAGCAGAAGGACAGCATATCAATTCGGTGTTTAAACAAATGGTATTAAATTCAGGAAGGTTCATGTGCAGAGCGTCAGTTTTGCTAAATGTTATGTATAAGGCTTGTTCTGTCTTGCCTTGGTATTCTGCAGAATTATTTTTTTTAAAAAATGGCGTATTCTTTTTGGTTGTTTTGATTGGTGCCTGGAAAAGGTAATTTCGCAGCTTGCATTTCAATTACTTTTTTTCCCACGTGTTATACAGCTACAATCCTTCTTCTTGTGTCACTCTGGCCTCTTCTTATCCCATTTGTAATTTCAGTTTCAAATTGAAACTATCTCTTTTAATATAACCCGATAAATGTTTGACCTTGCTACAGGTCGTTTGCTGGACATCCTTCATACCAAGGGGGAGAGAGGCTACGTGGTTTTCTTAGAGAGCCTGGAATTTTACTATCCCGAACTCTACAAATTAGTGACGGGGAAGGAACCCACACGAAGATTTTCCACTATCGTTGGTAAGTGGGGATTCTGTTGTTCCATGCCAAGCAATAGAGAGAAAATCCTTTCTTGGTTCTTTTTTGCTTGGCACAGAGTCCAGCAAGAGAATTAGAAAAGTAGGATGCTGGTCTCTGGAGACTCTCACTCATCTAGGTCCTGATTGTCCCAAAGTTGCTTTTTCAAGAGGCAACTGGACCATCTTGTTTTTTTTTGAAGACGTTTCACTTCTCATCCAAGAAGCTTCTTTAGCTCTGACCAGATGGTGGGGAATGGAAGGCCTCCACTTGGAGGTGAAATTGGACTCAAGGACCGTCTAAAAGAAGGCAAATGACCAGCCGTCTGCAAGGAATATAAATCCTTCCATTCCCCACCATAAGTCAGAGCTGAAGAAGCTTCTTGGATGAGAAGCGAAATGTCTTCAAAGAAAAACAAGAAAGTCCAGTTGCCTCTTGAAAAAGCACCTTTGGGACAGTAGGATACTAGGTTTCCGAGATGTCATGCTGGTAATCCTCAATGTTCAACCACAGTTGGGACAAGAATTTCCATTGCTAAGCAAAGCAATTGTGAAGTGAGTCACACCCAATTTTACAACATTTTTGCCACGGTCGTTAACTGAATCCAACTTTCCCCCATTGACTTTGCTCGTTGGAAGCCAGCTGGGAAGGTTAACAAATGGTGATCACATGAGCCCAGGAGGCCACAACAGTCATCATGCAAGGACCCATTGTAAGTCCCTTTTTTCAGTGCCACAGTGACTTTGAATGACCACTAAAAGAATAGGCATAAATCCAGGACTGCCTGTATTTGCACATCTTAAAAAGAAGATCAAACTATTTCAATTAAGGGTCTCCCTTAAGCTTAACCTTGTTCAGCCTGGGCTGATCTAGATCTGTTGGTCTGCCATTTTTTGGACCAGGGTATTTGGCCCCATCTCGGTCAACTCAACGCTTTCTGCTGCTCACCTCCATTAAGTTGTTGTGATTGCTTATGTGGTGTTTTTTTTTCTCTGTTCTCATCTCAGTAGAAGAGGGACACGAGGGTCTCACTCACTTTCTGATGAACGAGATCATCAAGCTGCAGCAGCAAGTTAAGACCAAGGACGCCCAGCGCTGCGAACTCTTGGCCAAATCTCGCCAGATGGAAGATGAGAGGAAGCAGCTGAAGCTCAACAAGATTGAGCTGCTCACGTTCCAGGAGAGATACAACAAAATGAAAGAAGAGAGGAACAATTACAATGACGAGCTGATCAAAGTAAAAGATGAGAACTACAACTTGGCCATGAGGTATGCCCAACTCAGCGAAGAGAAGAATATGGCCGTGATGAGAAGCCGAGACCTTCAGCTCCAGGTGAGAGGAAGTTCTTGAGAACATTGTGTCTCCCCTTTTGCATTAGGTGATCATTTCATTTGTGGTTTTTAGTCCATGTTTTTAACAAATCGCCACTGGTAGATTCATATATCAGCCCCAAACAAACAAAGCATGTTGTGATCCTTGAATGAACGAGTTTATAGATCATGTTTGAGGGCATCATGTAGGAGACAGTAGCAAGAAACCTGTGGCTTTCCAGATCTATGATGATGGTGATGATGATGGTGGTGGTGGTGGTGGTGGTGGGGTGGTGGTGGTGGTGATGTTATCCATTCAGTCCTGTCTGATTCTTGGTGATTCTATGGGCCAGGTCTCTCCACATCTTCTCTCCTGCACTAATTTTTTGAGTTGTTCTCCCCTCTGGCTGATGTCAGCTTTGATAGTGTCCAGCTAACATGTTTTTTGACGGACTGGTTTCCTTTTACCGCTCACTCTTCCAAACATAATTGCTTTCTCCAGTAAATTCCCTCACATGACATGGCCATAATAAGTGACTCCAGATCCAACACAATCCCAGATCAACATAACCAATGGTTAGTGATCTTGAGAAATAGTGTTCAACAGCGACTGAATAGAATAGGTTGTTCTAGACTAGAAACAACATTTTTTTTTACAACTTGTGGACACTCAGACGGCTTGGATTTCAGCTCCTGGGAATTCTGAGAATTGTCACCTCCGTGATTCTGGAGTATACAGGTATCAGAATATGAAAGTTGACCTGGATAACTCTATGATGAAAAGCTTCATCTAGCTACTAATGGTATGCTTGGGGATCTCTCCTGCACTCTTAGCCCTGTTGAGTAATGCCTGAAATGCCTTTAAATTGACTCTGTTGTTTCTCCCACTTGCTCTTCACTAACAAAACTGTTGTCAGAGTCATTATTTCTGTCTCTGCAATATGTCTTATAGAAAATTAACCAGAGTCCTTCATTCTGGTTTGAAAGCGCCCAGGGTTGCTTGGGGAATTCGATCTGGAGACCATCTCAACAGATGGAATCGAGGTTGTTTATGACACCATATGGAGCAAGGATTTCTTCTGAAGACAGGGCGTACTTGGTGATGGATACCTCTTTGTTTATCTTGGCTCTCTGTGGGGCTCACTTAGATTGATAAGCTGAAACACAAGTTGAATAAAGTGGAAGAAGAATGCAAGCTGGAGAGGAACCAGTCTCTGAAACTCAAAAACGATATCGAAAACCGGCCGAAGAAGGAACAAGTTTTGGAACTGGAGCATGAGAATGAGGTGCTGAAGACCAAAATTCAGGAGCTGCAGTCTATAATCCAGGTGAGTAATTTTTTTTCTGGCTAATATCTGATTATCTAGGATATATCTTTGCAACCTAGGATGGGCAAATACAGGAACTGGGAAGGATGGGCAATCCCAACCCTAACCTTGATTTCTGCTGTTGACTTGAGTACAGAGTTTTGCAAGAACTGGAAAGCTGGACAAGAATAGGAGAGAACCAGAATTATTGCCTTGCTTAGCAGGACTCACTAGATACTGCTTAAGGAAAAGAGATGGTCACATGCAGACCCTCTGCTGAGCTAGAAACAATCCCCCCACTGATCTGAGGCTCCAGACGTTCAATGGCATCCTTGTTCTGCCATATTGTCACCGACAAGCCTTTTCACTCTGCCTTCTGCCAACTGTCAATCTTCCCAGGAGGTGCTTTGAAAATAGTAATTTGGAAGATGGAAAATGTTAATCAGCTTGACTAACTTGAATTTAATCTCTGGTTGGATATAAAGCAACGGAGAAATAAAGCAGGAACTAATTGGAGCAGACATAGAAGGTCACCCGTGGGGGCCATAAAGGATGGGACATTGTAACTTTAGAGTTTTCCTTGAGAGCAAGTCCCGCCTTCCTATTTAAAGATTGGATAGGTCTTCTGGACCTGTCTGTCTTCTGGGTTGGATCCAATTCCTATACGTCTATGGAGATTCTCCATCATCCAAGGTCATGGTTGCTCCAAAGATGCTTTTCCAAAAGGCAACTGGACCTTCTTGGTTGTTGTGGTTTTCTTTGAAAACATTTTGCTTCTCATCCAAGAAGCTTCTTCAGTTCCTTCAGAAGAAGAAAGTTGTTGGATGAAAAGTGAAATGTTTTCAAAGAAAAGAAAAAAATCCAAGAAAGTCTAGCCACCTTTTGGAAAAGCACCTTCGGGAGATCCAGTTCCTACAATTTCTAGCTCAAGTGGCCTTTGGTTAAAGAGTGTCCACTTAAGGACGGATCCTGAAGGAGATCCAATATTCTAAGCAGGCAATGATGGTGTGGTTGTTGCCGAGCCTAACTTTCTCTTTTTAATCTGTCCACATCACTCTTTTCCCTTCCAACTCAATCTCTACCTGTTCCTAATTCCTTACCGCAGGCTGGGAAGCCAAGATTGCCAGATTCTGACAAAGCCATTTTGGATATCCTAGAACACGACCGCAAAGAAGCTCTTGAGGATCGCCAAGAGTTGGTCAATAAGATCTTTAATCTCCAGGAAGAGATCCGTCATGCAGAAGACCTCCGGGATAAGGTAAAATAGAAACCAAGAAGTAGAAAGAACAAAGAACGGCAAACGGAAATTCAAGATTGTCCTTGATCTACCTAATTTAAAGTCTCATTCTGCTTATCTAGGTACTCTTTTGATTAATATTGTTTGGCTTATTTGGTTACACAAAAATCATCTGCATAATAGTATGAGCAACTCTGTGTCTTACATGCATATAGGATTCCTCTGTGCAGGAGCATCTTTTCCAACTTTAGGATTTAGGATGCTTTGAAGGTCATAACCCATAGATTCAAAGTAACATCTTCTCAAATCCTCCTCCCTTTTGCAAGCAGTCACAGTGAAGCTTGCAGAGTGGAGTTCTGAGTTTGGGGACAGGCTGGATCTTGACTGACATCCTTGATGGAGCACCATCTTCATTTATTTCCTTGTAGTACCTTGAAGAGAAACAAGAATTGGAGTTAAAGTGCTCAACTCTGGGGAAAGATTGTGAGATGTACAAGCATCGCATGAATACGGTCATGCTACAGCTGGAAGAGGTGGAGAAGGAGAGAGACCAGGTGCTTGAAAATATGGTACCTGAGGAGCCTAGTCCTCTGGTAGCAGATGCTGGGGAGATGTGGGTGGTGGAACCCCATTGTTTATGTTCTATTGATCAAGCCAACATCTTTTCATTCACTAGAACACTCGTTAGCAGGTAATGTCTTTAAATGTACACATACAAAACATATCAAAGAGCAAAATGTAACAAATCCCAAATATTAAAATGATTAATGCATGTAGCCCTGGGATGGAATATAGTTGGTTCGAACCATTTTATGGACGGATGGATTCCCATCTGAAGGAAATGATGATTTTGAGTCCTTCAGCAGCTTTTTTGTGGTGTTGAACTCTTGGTATTGTTTTCCCTCTGGAGGCATTCCACTCCCGGGACGAGGCCCAAATACAGTATTCCCAATGCCTAATTGAGAAGGACAAACACCGGAAACAGATTCGGGAACTGGAGGAAAAAAACAACGACCTGCGGATCGAAATGGTCCGGAAGGAAGCGAGCATCATCAACCTGGAATGCAAACTCAGACGACTCTCAAAGGACAATGGTTATGACCAGGTAGCTCCCTCCACTGCTCTTGGGTTGTGTGTCCCAAGTCAGAAAAGGTCCAGTGAAGGTTGAGAAGGTTAAAGGCTCAGTTCTTGATCAGTGTCCTAGATGAAGTCAACTAATCAGTGGAACGACTTGCCTCCAGAAGTTGTGGGTGCTCCATCACTGGAGGTTTTCAAGAAAAGACTGGACAACCACTTGTCTGGAACAATTTAGGTTCTTCTGCTTGAGCAGGGGCTTAGACTAGAAGACCTTCAAGATCCCTTCCAACCCTATTATTCTATGTTCTACTTTCTAAATGGAACTTACCAGTTTTTAAAACCCATCTTCTTTCTTCCAGAGTTTACCACGGAATTTGCCACTCACTGTGATTTCTCAGATGCTGGAAACCTCTAGACCCAAAACCAATGGCCAAGAGGCAGATGACTCCTCAACCTCTGAAGAGTCCCCTGAAGACAGCAAGTTCTTCCCCTTGGATCCACCCCAGTTTAGAAGAAGATTAAACATTAAGGGCTTTCAGGTAGGATCCATATGGGGCTGGGTGGCTGGGGGACAATCTTTGGATTAGACACTCAGTCCTTATGCATGGTTCAAATGGGTTTCCTGCAGAAGATCGGACTGCCTGGTCTGGATACCACTTTCCAACTCTACAAGTAATCCTCAACTTATAACCATTTGTTTAACTCCTGCCTTGGACTTGAAGACCTCCAAGTAACCTGTAGGTCCGTAGTGGTCCTTAGTCAGATTTCATGCACTTTGAATGTCCCCTTAAGAGTTTTGTAAACTCTACCACATCTATTCCTCCTAAATCGTGTTTCCTTGATGTTTTGTTCTTAAACTCATAACTGTGCAATTACTTTTCCAACACACCAGTGTAATCTTAGACCATTGATGCTTCAATTCTGGAGGAGAGGCACCAAGTCATTGCTCACCATGGATGAAGTGTGGAAGATGTTTGGCCTGTGGGAATATCAACATACATCCCCATTTCAGTTTGATTTCTGTTCTCTTTCAGCCTCCAAGAACAAAATCCCCCATCGGTACAAATCGGACATTTGATCTCCAAGGTCAGAGGAACAAAAACTCATGTTCTTGCATTTGTTGGCTTTTCAGAGGTCTCCTTAACACTTAAGTTCTTACCTTTGTTTCAAGCTAACAGTTTCCAGTTTCCCAAAAGATTTTTTTAAAAAAAATAATCCTTCCTCTTCCTTATAGTAAACACTTTCAAGCAGCACTTGAAATGGACAAGTGATTGGGTTCCGGTAGTTAGTTCCCATTCTTCTAGCTGGAAGGTTCCCATCAAAGCTGTAGATGGCCGAAATTCAAGTCTTCCTCCATTATGGGTATTTGAGACTCTTTTGTTGCACTTATAATAATCTCACAGCAGAAAACAATCTTCCATAGGTCTTTTCTAGCTTATCTATTCGTGCAATCATATAGATCAGAGATCCCCAACCTTCTGGGCACCAGGGACCAGTTCCATGGAGAGAGGTTTTTCCACGGACCAGAGGGTGTGTAGTTTTGTGTGCTGCCTGCATCTTGTGGATGGGGCTTTGCTTGTTTGTGCAGACCAGTTGCTGGCATGCTGTGGCCCAGTACTGATCCATGGACTGGGTGTTGGGGACCCTTGATATAGATAGATCTTCTCCAGAAAGATCAGTCCCCACACGGTCCTTCAGATCTTCCAACGGTGCCCCATCGCCATGTAACTGTCTCCATTCTTCTTGCTTTCGCTTGTCCTTTTCTTCTCTTTCCTTCCACCTTTCCCAGCATCAGAAGCTTCTCCAGAGAGTTGGTTCTTCACCTAAGGTGTCCAAAGTGGGATAATCTGAGCCGGGTTATTTGTGCCTCGAGTGATAACTCGAGGGTGATTTGTTCAATGAGCCAATTGTTTTCTTGACCTCCCTGGTTTTCTCTGACACCAAAAAACGAATAGAAAGTTAAATAAAAATTAACATTTAAACCTTTGGGGAAAATCTTACAATCTCGATTGAGTTACTGGGCAACAAGGAGAGAATCCTACAAGATACCAGCCATGTTTTTAATGCCTGAAAGAGGTTGCTGATAAACAGATTAAAGGCTTTATAAGAGGAGAAGGCAAGCAGAGCTAAAGAGCATCAGAAATAACTTTGGAAAAGAAGGTTTCATTTTCCGCAAATCCCACAAGGACTTGTATCTTGTGGCTTGGATGTGTCTCAAATCCTCCGTCTCTGAATTTAAAAAAAAGAGGCAGATAAGAAAACGGGAGAGATTTCCTTGGTGATAGGAAAACATCAACAAAGCAAGGGTGAGGGACTCAATTACAGGTAGTCCTTAACTTACGACCATAATGAGCCCATGGAGATGCTGCAATGGTCATAAGTATGAAAAACAGTCCTGGGGGGGAGCTGGATTCACTTAACAATCGTGGCAAAAATGTAAAATTAGGTGTGACTCACTTAACAATCGCTTTGCTTAGCAATGGAAATTCTTGTCCCATCTGTGGTTGAACGTTGAGGATTACCTGCATAACATCTCAGAAACCTAGTATCCTACTGTCCCAAAGGTGCTTTTTTAAGAGGCAACGGGACCCTTTTGTTTTTCTTTGAAGATGTTTCGCTTCTCATCCAAGGAGCTCCTTTAGCTCTCTCCGGATGGTGGGGAATGGAAGGCCTTCACTTAGAGATGAAATTGGGCTCAAGGACCATCTAAAAGAAGGCAAATGACCAGCTGTCTGCAAGGAGTATAAATCCTTCCATTCCCCACCATCCAGTCAGAGCTGAAGAAGCTTCTTGGATGAGAAGCAAAACGTCTTCAAAGAAAAAACAAGAAAGTCCAGTTGCCTCTCGAAAAAGCACCTTTGGGACAACCAGGACCTGGATGACTGAGGATCTCCATAGACAACCAACTAGAAGAAGGTATTACGAGTCTTGTTCGCACAAAATGTTGCGTACGGCACAACTTAAGCCAACAGCTTCGCTGCTTGTCTTTCTCTCTAACTCTGTCCACTTTTGTCGTTTGATGATCCAGCCATTCAAGGCCATAATGAAGAGAAGATTGAGACCAGCCACAGACACTCTGAAGCGTCTTCTCAACCCATATCCATCGACAGCTCCACGGGCAGCTGCGAAGTTAGCAAAATTGTAAGGAATTTGAAAGCCTGATCTTTACTTGTTACTCAATTATGGGGTTCCTTCTTCCTTTGTTTGCAACTCCAGATATGGAAGGGTTCTTTTTTCCAACTTGCTGTGTAACTTCTTGAATATGCTTTTTTTTTCCCCTGCATGAATGTTAACAGTTTGCTCTTTTTAACACACACACACACACACACACACACACAACTGCTATCACCTTTCCAAATGCTAATTTGTACTTCCCTGAAGATATTCCCAGCAATCTTTCCCAGTTTTGTTTCCCTGTGGAAACAGGTTCACGAGGGGAAAAAAACAGCAAAGTTTTTGTTAGCTGGTTGAAACTGCAAAGGTTGGACATTTTTATTTAAAAGGAAGAAGGAAAGAAAGAAACACATTTTAGACTTTTGACAGCTGTCTGTGAGGTTCCATTGGATGTGATTATGAGCTTAGTAGGAGCAATGAAGTAGAGAAAAAAGGTGTTGATAAAAAAAGGGGGCTAGGTGAAGAATAAAAGACACTTTCTAAGCAGGGGCTTCTAGCAGTGAAATGAACTATTGCTCACTTGGTTGTGTGACGACCTGAAGCTTTCTGGATTTCTGCTCTGAATGGGTGCTCTGAATTCGGGTATCTGCAGGGAGCTGGGTCAAAAACCTCAAGATGGCAGGTTTGACTCCAAATCAAAGCCCCGCCCAAGGCTGGGCAAGACTTAGGGGCATCCAGTCCAGACCAATGTTTCTTAACATTGGCAATTTTAAGATGAGTGGACTTCAACTCCCAGAATTCCCCAGATAGCATGCTGAGTGCCTCTGATGGAATGTTTTCCGGATTCCCAAGAGGATGGAGGAGCATTCCAGAGGAGCAAGAGACAACACAGCCTAGATAGTTTGTGTGAAAGAAAGAGGGCGAAGATGGCTCCTCCCTAATAGTTCCCAGAGTATATGTTTTATGGTGCATGTCGTCTGCTTTAGTTTGGCAAGATTGATGTCAGGTTCCAAAAAACAAGAAAGACACACTGAGGTCCTTCTAAGCAGATTTCTTTATTGTTTCTCGCCTGTAGACAGAACTCTTGCCAAACTAAAGCAAACTCGGACCATAAAAACCTATTCTGGGAACATTGAGGAGGAGCTGACTTCATCCTCTTTCTCCCACACAAAGTGTCTAATCTGTGTTGTCTCTTCCTCCTCTAGCATTCACTCCCTCTCTCCCAGGAATCTAGACAAAAAAATCCTTCACAATGACCGGCTTCCTAATATGCTTTCTTTCTCCAATGATTCTGTCCACTCCCTTTCTAGTGATCCCTAACATCCATGATTTTTAAGTCAGCTTTCTCAATTTTGGACATAGCTGCCAAGGTGAGCCTGCTTTATATCAACTTTCTAGATGGAGGAAAGATCTTGTGAATTCTTCTTGTAAGCACCACCAACAAAAGCTTTTGGAGAATCTATTACTGTTGTACAAAAGACATATTTGTCTACACTCATGGGGACAACTAGCTCGGTCTTTCTGCAAGAGCTCACACATGTTTGCAGACCGAAAGATTAGTGTCAACAGCAGGAGGGACACTTAAAATCACTCCCCAAAGTCTCGGTCCAGAAAAATCTATTTCTATGAATCAGCTCCACTCAGATTGCCTGCAGATAGGATGACAACTGAGGCCTCCACAAATATCGCAGTTACTTTCATATATTTCTTTCCACAACGCTTTTAATTATACATGCCCCACATTTGCTTTTTGTATTTTCCAATTGATTTTTTTTCCCAGGGAGCCTTTCTTGGTGTGTGTTGCGATTGCTCAAATTGTTTTGATAGACTTGTTCCATTTCTTCATCTGTTTGTAATGTTTGACAGCCTTGTCTGTTTGTTTTCCTTGCTCGGTGCTGCTGTAAGCTGTCTTAAGCTGCCTCTCTTGTAGACGGCGGAGCCTGGCAATCCTATTAAATAAATATAAATTAAAATAATCTCCCCCGTGTTCCAGGACGAACCTGGGAAACTGATTTCATGGCTTAAATTGAAGTCATTGGGGGAGAAGGAGGAAGGGGGGGAAACGCCCATTAGTTATTATGTAAATCACCGCTCGGAGATGAATAGACTGCCATATTCCACTGAACAGATACCATATCACAAGCTTGCCATTACAGCTGGAAAAGAATCAAAATAGGAAGCTGTTGAAATATTCAGCTCTGCCTAATGTGCAAACTGCACACAACTTGGTTGCAGTGGAAATAGCTACGGTATCACTTTATGTTTGGGCTTCTTGCAGATATATTTAGAATTCATTTATGCCTCCGTGTTCCTCCATACATTCATGCCCATGTTCGCCGACCCCCTTTCGCTCCATATGATTACTTCCCTACTTCCCTTATAAAATGGGTTATCAGCTTTTCATTATAGCCACCCTCCTAAATTCTATTTCTAATTCTGAATAGAATTAAAGGACTCGGTGGATGAAAACCGTAACAGTGGGACAACTGTCGGGCTCCCTGGAAACCAAGAAAGGCAGACTGCAATTCTTCTGAGCAGATTTCTTTATTGTTCCTCACCTTCAGGCAGAAACCTTATCAAAGTAAAGCAGACTATTGCCCCATAAAACATATACTGTGAGAACTACTAAGGAGGAACTGTCTTCACCCTCTTTCTCCCACGGAACCTATCTCATCTGTGTTGTCTCTTGCTCCAGTGGAATACAGCCCCTCCCTTACCTCCCTCCTGGGAATCCAGACCATATTCCATGACAGCAAGAGAATGAGGTGTTAAAGCTAGTAGATGCAGAAGTATGATTTGTTTACAAGCAAGCGTGTTTTCCACTGAGGCAGGAAACTCACCAAGATGGGCAGGATTGCACCACTGATGGCTTGTCTTTGTTTCTTTTCTTGGCCTTTCCTTCTGAAACCCAGCAAACCCTGAGATATCGCTGCGCCAGCATTATGTCCACCACTCCGGAGCCTCCAGGAAATGATTCCATTCTCCGAAGGAACAAAGATGTCCCTCACTCAAGGTAAATATCCTGGGCCAACTGGGAAGAAAGGAATGGACCTGTATGAATCAGGAAAGTTAGATGAAAACTAAAATATTGGGGGAATAGAGTTAGTTCAAGGTCTAGAAGATTGTCCCACTAAATGCATTTTCATAGCGGTGACCACTGGAAGGAATAATGATACTTCTTAAGGAGGACAGCGATGGGCTCTCTCTCAATGAAGGAACCATCTCACACATCCGTCATTGGGAGAGGACAGGAAGAAGAGCAGTGTTTGTCAGCCTCAGCCATTTTAAGATGTAAGGTCTATGGATTTGAACTCCCAGGATTTCCAGAGAAGAACCCACATTGACCTACAATCTGGTCATTCTGAGCACCTCCAAGGAAAAATAGAAAAGATATCCCCTCATTCCTCTAGGATGAGGATAGATTAGCATGTTTCAGGAAAGGGGGGGGTCTAAATCAGGGATGGGTGACTATGGCCCTTTATGATCTGTGGATTTCAACTCCCAGAATTCCTGAGCCAGCCATTTTGACTGGCTCAGGAATTCTGGGAGTTGAAGTCCACCGCTTGTAAAAAGAATTCTGGAAGTTGAAGTCCATAGCTTGTAAAAGGAATTCTGGGAGTTGAAGTCCACAGCTTGTAAATTTAGAACACAGTTGCCTGCTGCTGTTCTCAATAAAGAATCAGGTTTGCATTTGGCATTTGTAGCCTAATATAATTGCTGGAACCCCATACAACTCATTTCAGGGAAAAGTAAGAGAAATAAATGTTGAGGGCATATTGGTACATGCCAAAAATGGGGATGACCTTTGCCAAGGTTTGTTTGGAGTCACCATTATATATGGGGGTTCTCTTGCCTTTTTTTTCTTACCTCTGTACAATCTCTTCTCTGCGTATCAACGGTACCGTCATTCTACTTTTGAGTCATTGTCTCTTTCCCGGCTTCTCTCTAAAATCGATGGACTCTAGGTCAAGTACTTGGGTTACGTACATAAATCAGCCAGATTTATCCTCCAGGCAGACAATTGTTGAGCCCTATTTCCCTGGATCCTTTCTCCAATTCAATTCCTACCTCTAGAAACTATCTTGGTCTGATTGAGGAGAAACTCAGATGCAAGATGACATTGTGCCATTTCTCCACTCTGCCCTGAAGGCAATTACAACCTTTCTTAGTTCCATTACCTTGAGCCAATTTAAAATCCCTGCAGCTGATGTTAAACTTTCTTTTTTTAAAAAAAAATAAAAATCACAAGTATCTTGGGTGAAGTTTTATAATCAGGAGGATGACACAGGAGAGGGTTACCATGCTCGGCCCATTCTAGCCAGTAGGTAACTATGGTGTGCTGTCGAATGTGTGTAGGGATTGTAAGTTTTAATCATCCCAAATGAAAATATGCCATGGAAACTGCTCTCCTCCCCGATCGTGCAAGAGGAAAACATTTATTATATGATTTTATTGATGGTATAACGTGATCCAAGGCAGGCGTTATCATTTATTCAATGTTCTCCTACCTCTGTCGAGCGTTCCTTGATCTGATTTACTGGAACAATTTTAAGAGCTGAATTAGGCCTTTCTTACAAGTGCAGGTAACATTCATCTGATGTTTGGAAATAAAAAAGCAGCCAGTTTCAGGTGGCCATGACTGGAAGAGGGCACTGAACGTGTTGGTAGATAATCCTCAATTCCTACAGTGGAGAAGAAATCCATCTTCTCCGTGGGAAGTCTGCAGGAGCCATTCCAAGTACAAAAAGTGAACTCGGAAAGATTTATATACCTTCCTTCTCCTTGGCTGTTCCTCTCCTTCCAATTCCAGCCTCCAGAAGCTTTTTTTCCTTTCAAAAATTGGGAGCGTTGTGTGTAACATGTAGTTCGCTCCTGCCCCCAACGTCATAAAGGAAGTGGTTGCTCAACAGGCCACTTCATTTTTTTTCCTAGGTGGTGTCCATTCTTCTCTTGTAATGCTAGAAAATATAGTGCAGGTGCTAACATTAGCAAAAGAACACAGACCACACACACAAACACACACAGAGACACACACCCTTGCGGCAGAGGCACACAGAAGAATGTGGAAGAAAATGTTCAAATGGGTTTGCTTGCATTTGGTAAAGCAATCAGTGCCATTTTACTGTTGCAATCATCTGAAAACCTTTCTCGTTTTGAATAATAATAGTGATAATAACAGCAACGTAGCTCCAAAATAATATTAGGGCCATCTGCGCAGCAAATTGTCATATTTCAATGGCAAGAGCTGGAAATGATAAGAATAGCTGAATCTTCTTCTTTGGAGAGCATCATAACTCCTTCCCAGGGCCTGATATCTCCTTTTCTTTGGAAATATTTTGTGGTCCGGTTGTGTCCCAGCCATGGTGCCATCTTTTCCAATCTTGTCTTTTTCCTTTCACCTACCCATCTGTCTCTCTTGGCATCTGCTCCCTCTTCCGTGGCCACTTCTGGCCACCACTTCCTACATCAGAGATGTTCTGACTCCAAGATTTGGGCTACCTGCTGAGGGATATTAAGATGTCCAAATGAGACATCATGGAGAGACAGAGAGAGAAAGAGAGAGAGAGAGAGACCAATATGTATTTCTTTATTCCAGTTTGACCGAAGATGATGACAGTTTTGGCTGTGATGCTCTGGAATTAGAAGGTAAGAAATTTGGAAGACCAGCATTCTGAGAAGCATCATCTGATGGACAGAGATGATCTTCTTACTTAGACCTCCTGGGTACTTTATGTGGAATCTCTGCTTGAAAGGCAGCCCAGCCCTACTCCAATTTAAAGATAAAGACCTATTAAGAGAATAACAAATTGTCCATCCACAGTTCCTACCTGGACTGAGCAGGCAGGCTATTCCTGGTCACTTAGGACATCTTCACGTAGGCTTTTTTGGCAACAGTAGAGGACGAGTGTGCCAATTGCTTTCTTCCAGAAGGTCTTTCAACTTCTGAACTCAGTCAAGGTCAGTCAGAAGTTGCTGCCATCCAGAAAAGTCCATGAGAAGGTCAACCTGATCTGGAAAGTCTCCTTACCATTTTTTCTGAACCCAAAGATAATCCATCCAGACAAATACTTCAAGTCCTGTCTATATTTCAATCCAATTTTATTCCTGTCGCCCGTTCTTTAAGAAGGATATTTTTTTTCCTTCCAAATCCATCCGTTTCATGAATTTATTTATTCCGCATTTCCTTTTCCAGATGATGTTCCTGACAGATATTCCTCACTACCTTCCTCCTCATCCTCCCACCACTCTGAAGGGCTGGACCTGGAACAAGTCAATTCCATTTTCAGGAAATTCTCTCTGGAAAGGTATGGTGGAGAAGATTGGCTGGAGGTGCAACCACTGTTACTTCTCGTCTGTTTTAGATACTCAGCAAAATGAAATTGTAACACTGCTTTTTCTTGGATTGTACCATTGCTGGGGGGATTATTGTAGAATGCACCGGAAGGGCTGTCACATAGGGAATGTGGTACCCCTCCTGATATTATCAGTGGTAGCATCCAGAAAAAAAACATTCTTTAATTCTTCTGAAGAATAAATCAGTTCACATAAATTCATGTTAGATCAGAAAGATCGAGAGAAATAAGGCTCTGAGGGTAGAGAACTGAAATGATTTGCAAGTTCCTGGTGCTGGTATTCAAGCTAAATTTTGAAAGGTCATAATACTGTGCCAAGCTCTACATGCGATTTCACCAACTTTTTTTTTGTTCCTACCTCAAGTTCCAGCTACTTAGGAAGTTCTTCTGAATTTCTCTTGTGGACTTTTTGAAGCAAAAAAACCCCGTGACTGGAGGTGTCCCCAAGAGCAGCAGCTGGTATAGTTTCCAGTCCCACATCTTTCTAAATCTCCCGCTGCCTCTCTTGACTTTGGCAAAAGACTCTCAGATGCAACTTGATTAGACGAGATGCATCTTTGCAGTCAAGAATGAAACTGTGAACATAGCAGATGGATTGTAGGTTGCGTGTGAAGAAGTCATAGCCTTCGTCCATAGCTACGTTCCAGAATTTAAAACCTTGAATTTTTCCTCCTACTCTTCTGAACGAACAAATACTTGGCTAATCCCTTGATGGCCTTGCCAGGCATCTGAGATACATGGATGCAACTGTTCTTTTTAGCCTAGGAACCGCTGGTTCCCCCTTCACCAATCTCAGCCTTTTCTCTGGGCGATCTTAGAAGCCAAGAGGAATTTGCCCCTCTTTTGTTGACACAGGCCCTTCCGTCCCTCGGTGACTGCAGTTGGACGCCTCCACAATGTCTTCCATGCCGTCCAGCAAGTAGTCGTCAACGGGGACACTCTGAGCTCAGAGATCAGTTTGCTGGGAGGAAACATCAAAGGAAGCTTTGTCCATTCAGTGAAGGTCAACTCCACAGCAGAGAAAGCTGGCCTCCGGGAAGGGTACCAACTGCTTCTGGTGAGGCCTCCATATTTTCTAGTCATCCCCGCAAACATCCCTAAGGATGGTCCTTTGCATTTCTTTGAAGTGATGAATGAGTGAGCTCTTCTTATTTTTCTTCCTTGCTTGCTGTAACCAAGGTCTATGTTGCCTGGGGCAGAGTTTTTAACTTTAAAAAAAACCCCTTTAAAGGAAGGCTCATATTGGAGGCATCAGCCATCTCTTCATTCTATGCCCTTCAAGAAAAAAAATCTATACAACCAAATCACATTATGCTGTTATTGAAGACCAGGGTGGGTGGAGATGATAGCTGTGTAATTTAGTAAGTAGAATTAATTGCCTGGAGGGAGAATAAAGCTGTGTTCCTATCAACAGGTGGAGGGCTGCATCCGAGGAGAAAATATGAGTGTTCCCCTGGATACTTGCACAAAGGAAGAAATTCATTGGACAATTCAGAGATGTAGTGGGCCAATTACGTTGCATTGCAAACCAAATCATGAGGGTGAGATACCGTGCTTTTAAACCTTTGGACAAGTAGGCCTATTCGTCTTTAGGATCTGGGGGCCGGATAAAGGGACAGGAAAATTGGTCTTTGAAAGCCAAAATGATCCATTACAATTTTTTTAAAAAATAAAATAAAACCAAGTTCTTGTTTATTTTCATGATCGCCTCCAAAAGTTGGAGATGCAGAGTTGGTAGCAGAGATGTTTTCTAGAGTTGATACCTCAGCCCCAAATTCAGAATTCTATAATGGGAAATTTGATGTTTCCTAGAACCAAGGAGAAATTTTCTGACAGGGACAACAATTAATCAGTGGAACAGTTTGCCTCCAGAAGCTGTGAGTGCTCCAAGACTGGAGGTTTTTAGAGATTGGACACTATAGGGTCTCCTGCTTGAGCAGGGGGTTGGATTAGAAGACCTCCAAGATCCCTTCCATTATTCTGATGCTGAGTTGACAAGATGGATGGGCACTATTGTACCGGTGGAACAATCACAGTAGGAATTCAATTGGTGTTTCTCAATCCTGGCAATTTTAAGATGGTGACGCTCCTACCCAACATGGGGGACCCAAGGACCAAGGAGTTTCTTCATTTCATGGAACCGGTTGTGAGTGGGTTCCTTCCCCTCTAGATTATCGGACACTGCTTTCGGAAATGGAAGAAGGTCTGATCACCTCCGGAGACTCCTTCTACATCCGGCTGAACCTCAGCATCTCCAGCCACCTGGACTGCTGCTCCCTCTCAGTGAAATGTGATGAAATCTTGCACGTCCTTGACACCATGTACCAGGGGAAATGTGAGTGGTTTTGTGCCAGAGTCCATCCCGTCACCAACAAAGATGAGGAAACGGGAACGGTCCCCAATTACAGCAGGTGAGTGTTCCCTCCCGGGCACAGAGAAGCTCCAAGAGGCAGGGGGTGCACATGGGATAGGGGCTCAAAATTCAAGATACCAGCCTGATGACATGTTACGGGAAGCTGGTATGCTGCAAACCCGAACACCAGCCTCCAAGATTTTCTGCATGGCAATCTTTGGATGCCAATGAGATGAGGCTGAGGCCAAGACTTGTGCAGGAGATGTGACCCACATAAGAAAAGAGGAAAGGCTTGCCTTGCATGTTTGTGGTGGCCACCCTCACTTTTTGGACCTCCCTGTGGATGCCCTGTTGCCTCCATGACAATGAGGTTCTCCTTGGAGATTTCTTAAGGTACTCCAAAGGTTTAAATTTGGGCAAATATTGTCCATCCCATGGCATTGTAGGCAGGCTAGTTCTTCCTTCTTTATAACACGGCTGCCTGGAGTTTGGTCCAAACTGCTTGGCCATCCAAAGGGAGGAAGAAGGGCACCAGCTGAGGATGGTCATGCTGGATGCCTTCCTTGGCACCACCTCTGATCCTTCCTAACTCTCCTTTGCAGAGCCCAGCAGCTGCTCCTAGTAAAACTCCAGCGACTTATGAACAGAGGAAGCAAAGAAGATACAGACAGTGTCTATGGGATATCACGAGTAAGTTCTCCCTGGCTTGGGATAGTTGTCCTCTTCACCCATCATTCTTCCATCCCTTTGTGAGCAGTTTTGGGCAGTTTCGTCTCTTGGGTCATTCCCATCCATTCTGAAAGCGGTATTCTGTCTACATTCATTATGGGTGGTGGACTTTGCTCTCATCAAGTCAACTTTCTCCATCTTGAGGGCCTCCAAATATGGTGAGCCCCTCTTCTCAACATTCCTACTTCTACGTCCCATAAATTCATTTTGGCTTTATGGGATTCTGACCTACATTTTCCTCCTCCTCCTCCTTCTCCTCCTCCTCCTCCTTTTTCCTCCTCCTTCCTCCTCTTCTTCCTTCTTCCCTCTTTCTTCTTCCTTCTTCTCTCTGTTGCTCTTAGACTACGCTACAACCAGACGAACTTGCATCTCCCAGTGAATCCAAAACGAGCCCTCGTCTCTCCAGAGCCAGTTTCCTTTTGGGCCAGATCTTGCAGGTAACAACAACAACAACAATTGGGCCCCAGAGTCAAATTAAAAGAGTAGTCTAGCTCTCTGATTGCCAGCCTTACTAGGTCCAGACCAGACAGGAAACACAGCCTTGACTCACCCCTTGACCCAACCTGAATCTCCACTTCCAGTTTGTCAGCAGGTCCGAAAACAAATACAAGCGCATGAATAGCAGTGAACGGGTGCGCATCGTCACTTCAAAAGACAGCCGGGTGAAATCGGAAGTGCATCCGGTGACAAAGGCTCTCCTCGAAAGATTTGAAGGTGCAGTAGGTTGGGGGTGAAGTGGAGGGAACCTCTTTTTTTTAGATTTCAAAGCTGAAGGACTAATTGCCCAATGAGGTTGTCCCTTAACACCTTGAACCTGGCCTGGAACCATGCCAGCAGGGTGATCCCAGGGGTTTTCTAGCCAAGTTGTCTTCATTCATCAAAGTAACATCCGATCTCTGGTTCTCTGATGTTCGTTTGATGGAATCAGCCTTTTGTTGGGCTGCCTGCCCATTCTAGGATGGCTTACAGTGGCGTAAATCTTCAGCCTTTTGTTGGGCTGCCTGCCCATTCTAGGATGGCTTACAGTGGCATAAATCTTCTTCTTCCAGAGTTTGATTCCATGACTGAGATCAACAAGAGCTTCAGTCTGATCCCCTACAGCTTGGTGAAGCCCACCCACTGTGACTGCCGGCGTCCCGTCCTCTTCAGCCCCACGATGCTTGCCAAGACCTTGGTCCAAAAGCTTCTCAACTCAGGAGGAGCCCTGGAGTTCAACTTATGCAAACCAGGTAAACCCTGGGGTCCTTGTCTAAAGCCAGTCTGTCTTCTTCTAACTCGATGTTTCTCAAACCTGGCAACTTTAAGATATGTAAACTTCAACTCCCAGAATTCCGCAGAAATCAGAAGCCTATTTTTTCTATTTCTCATTTTTGCTTCTTTCTTTTCCCCTTTTGCTTTCCTTCCTTCCTTCCTTCCTTCCCTCCCTCCCTCCCTCCCTTCCTTCCTTCCTTCCCAACTCTGGAGGAACCCTGGAGTTCAACTCATGCAAACCAGATAAACCAGGGTCTCCTGTTTGAACAGGTTAGACTAGACCTCAAGCTCCCTTCCAGCTCTGTTCTGATTGATTAATTGTGGTTAAGTAACAAATTGTCCATGCCAACTGATCCGAGGAAGCCAGCAAGGAGTGTGCATTTGTGTGGTTATGTCTCTCTGTTGTGAAAGGGGCTAAATACAGTCTTAATACTGGGAAGAAGCCTTGTGAACTGGCCATTATCTCCCTGTTTTCTTTCTAAAAGTCCCAGAAATGTATTTCTGCTTGCTGCTAAGGAGAGGCTGCTGAAAAGAAAAGCCTTTGCTCTGATCCAATTCCTGTGTGATTACTGCCTTTTCATATGTTGCCGTTTATCCAGCCCCTTGCAGGTCTTGTACGCCTCTTTGTTGAAAGGCTGTCTCTCCAAAGAATCTTGACACCACAACACGGGCTAGCAATTACACAGACGACGCTTCTTCTTCCCAACCTGTCCCGGCATACCTTGTTCCTCGAAATAGGTCATGCTTAAGTTCACCAGATTTAACTAGCTCCAGGATAAACACCTTCTCCGCCAGCTAAAGCCTGCGGCTGCCAAATCCAAGCATAATAAGCATGGCAATCGTTTGTCTTGTGTTTTTGTCCATGGAGTCCTATTCCTGCCACTTGTGGCTGGGCTTGCCTGCCTCCCCTCCTCTGCCCCCATTGTTGCAGGGGACCCTTTGTTGGTAGGGATTGGGGGAAACGGTGACCCACATGCTCTCTTATCCCAAAACAGTTCTAATTTCGTTTTTGCAATTGAGAAGGCACTGGAACTATCACTCGGGGGACGTGGTGTCAGGCCTGCCCCAATCGGATCCCTTAGGAAATAGAGACCCTCGACTCCATTGGGTTGAAGCGAAAGAGGTTGGCTGCAGTAAAGTCAGGCTAGCTCTGAATTTCGCCTGCTCAAAAGATACAGAAAGGCTTTTACCCACATCCCCTCATTTTAATTTTTCAAAATTAAGTTCAGCTGCCCATAGAACAGTCTCAAAGTGACCCAGATTTGCTCCCTTTTCTTTTTTGGTGCAAAAATGAGAGAAAAAAGGATTTTTTGATTGATGGTTTTAATGATTAGACAGGATAGATTATAAAAAGGAGAGAGTTATGATGTAATTTTAGAGAGAAAGGTTAGGATATAATCGTGCTTATTACTGTTGTGAAGAATATTGGAAGCTGCTTGTTTATATCTTAAAATCTTTCTCTTTTTTCCTATTTTCTTTTTTTTTAATTGCACTTGTAGCTTTTTCTGTTGTTTCTCTTTGTTCCAATTTGGCTTATATTAGGTCATATTATTGTTCTTAAAACTTTTAATAAAGATATATAGATGAGAGAGAGAGAGAGATGATAGAGAGATTGGTGTGTGGGTAGATTGGTGGATGGATGGGTGGAGGAAGGGAGGGAGGGAGGGAGATACAGATAAATGAATGGATGAATGGATGGATGGATGGATGGATGGCAGACAGATTTGGGCTTGCAAGATTTCTTTTACCAATACAGGAAGTCCTTGACTTACAACAGTTCTAGAAAGAGTACAGAGAAGAGCAACAAAGATGATTAGGGGACTGGAGGCTAAAGCATATAAGGAACGGCTGCTGGAATTGGGGATGTGTAGTTTAATGAAGAGAAGGACGAGGGGGGACATGATAGCAGTCTTCCAGTATCTCAGGGTCTGCCACAAAGAAGAGGGAGTCAAGCTATTCTCCAAAGCGCCTGAAGGCAGGACAAGAAGCAACGGATGGAAACTAGTCAAGGAGAGAAGCAACCTAGAACTAAGGAGAAACTTCCTGACAGTGAGAACAATTAATCAGTGGAACTGCAGTGATTCACTTAACAGCTGTGGCAAGACAGGTCATAAAATGATGCAAAAATTCGCTTAACCCAGGTCTTCCTTAACAACATAAATATTGGGCTCAAATGTAGTCATAAGGTGAGGATGACTTGCATGAACTCTTGAACGTCCATTCAATTGAGTGACTCTTTATCCCGGCATCCACCCTGTGCCGTTCCAGCTTTCTCTTTAACCTCGTTTTTTGTTTGTTTGTTTCGCTCCTTCTCTCCCAGATATCATAACCAAGGAGGAATTCTTCAGGAGGCACTCCACGGAGACAATAATCTATTCACGAGAAAAAAATCCGCACACTTACGAATGTATTTTCCCAGCAAATATTGGGGCTGTGGCTGCCAAGGTAGGCTTTCCAGTCCTTTTGCAACATAAATACAATATGCACAGCTGGCACAAAATGGAAGGAAAGAACATGTATTCCTCCCTTTTTTCTTTTTTCCTTTTCCTGATGCAAAAATTATCACGGGCCATATTGTGTATTTCCTCCCAGACCGCATCTGGCCTCGCTTCCATAATCTTGTCAAAGTCATCAGTTTCCCCAGACCGGGGTGGGAGGGGGTGAGGTGGGAGGGTTGGGGGTATCATAAATTGAGGACTACCTGTAACAATATCAGAATAACAGAGTTGGGACGGGACCTGAGAGGTCTTCTAGTCCGTCTCCTTGCTCAAGCAGGAGACCCTATTCCATTTCAGACCAATGGCTGTCCAATTTCTTCTTGAAAACCTCCAGTGATGGAGCACCCACAACTTCTGGAGGCAGGTTGTTCCGCTGATTAATTGTTCTCCCTGTCAGGAAATTTCTCCTTAGTTCCAGGTTGCATCTCTCCTTGATTAGCTTCCATCCATTGCTTCTTGTCCTGCTTTCCGGTGCTTTGGAAGACAGGCTGACAAGGGAGCAATACTTTCCAATGTCTGTTCATGTAACCTTACAAAAAAAAATAAAGCTAGTATTCTTGGCAAGGCCTCTTGTCTGGCCTACCTTGCAGGGCTAACTTTAGAGCTGGCCTAGGAGCAGAGAGAGTCAAACTTCCCCTGCCCTGAAGCTCATGGGATGATCTTGGGAGGATGAAAAGAAGTCCTTGCTGGTGCCACAGCAAGAGAGGAACAGGGAAGTTTTCTAAAATCAGTGAGAATCTGGAGGGCGATAATCTGCCCTTGATGAAAACCAGCCGTGTCAGATGCGCAATCAAGGGCTTCCAATTTATCTGATCCTGTTTGAGATGGGGTGTGTGTCTAAATCCCCCACCACCATGTACTTAACCAAAGTCCTCTCCCTGACTTTGTGTTGACAGAACAAACACTGCCTGCTCGAACTCAGCATCGGCTGCACAAAAGATTTAATCAAAGCCAAGATATATCCCATTGTTCTCTTTATTAAAGTCTCCGAGAAAAACATCAAGAAATTCAGGTACGTCTCGGTCACGGTGCAAAGAAGGACGGGCGAGAAGAAAGAAATAGAGGGATGCTTTGCCTGCTGCAGAAATATGGAGTGGACAAAACAGCTACACAAATGAAAAGGGTCCTTACCAAGGCAATCGCTACCTAGTGTATTTTGGCACTTACGTCTTGGAGATGCGTCTTCTCTCTCTCTCTTTTTTTTTTCCCTAGGATTTGCACATTTGAACCTGTTTGCCCCTAAGTTCTTTCTTTCTGTTTGGGAGTAAAAATAAATAAAAAATGATGCGATAGGGACTTTGTGGAGGAAGGCAAAAAATAAAAATTCCACAACGCTTGTTGCAACTGATGATTTAAAATCAGGGCTGGCAATTGGTGCCAATTCTGGGAAATCAGACCCTTTGTGTGTTGTGGCTGGCAGAGCTATAAGCGCAAACACATCTGGAAAGCACAGAGTAGGCAAGGCTGCCATATGTTTCCCAGCCCTCCAGATGTTAAGCCTGGCTTGGATGACCCCAGAATCAAAATCTGGCAAGCAATTCCTTTTCTACCTCTTGGTATAAATTTGTGTGATAACCGTTTGGATGAAATTACAAGGCAGAAACAAAACCTTGTTGAGAAAACAAAAGCTAGATTCCATTTGTTTGTTTGTATCTGCCTTCATTACTTTTATAAATATTTATTAAGCTTATTCTATTCTATTCTATTCTATTCTATTCTATTCTATTCTATTCCATTCCATTCCATTCCATCCCATCCCATCCCATCCCATCCCACCCCACCCCATCCCATCCCATCCCATCCCATTCTATCATAAGTCAAGGGCTTCCCGTATCCATCGTTCCTCTGTTTACTTCTGTAAATCTGGATCTTCTTCCTCCTTACCCGGGTTTACTTTTTTTCCCTGGAAATGGTCAGCCATAATAAAATTTTATGTTGTAAAACAATGAATTGGATAAGTAGAAAGAGACTTGAACTCTCCAATTTCAGGAAACAAATGGAAGTGTCTCCAGAACATGACAATGAAAACCAGCCAAAATGTAAACATAATAGAAAATCAATAGCAAATTATTACTCAGTCATGCTCTACCCCACGGAAGATTGAAAGGATCTGTAAGTTATCTGTAAATAAACACTGGAGGACCATAAACAATACGTGGTGGACAAGTTTAGTTATATTGCATTTCTTCTTGGCAACAAAAGCACCCAAGGTTAGCAAGCCATGAATTGCAGCAGCGTTTCGGTCCAGCGTCAGAAATACAGCATTTGAGTGATCAAATTCAGCCACAGCTATTTTGTTTAGCTCATTAGCTGTAGCATCGATGCTGGTGGCCCGAAAACTAAACATCGATTCATGCCCTGTTTGCACGATAAAAGCTTTTTAACAGGAGGCAACTGGCTACAGCTAGTCCTTGACTTACAATCGTTCATTTAGTGACTATTCCAAGTGACAAAGCATTTTAAAAAAAGGGACTTAGGACCATTTTTCACACTTAATGACCATTGCAGCATTCCCACGGTCAAGTGATCAAATTCCAGACTCACATTTATGACAGTTTCAGAGTCATAAATCCTCTTTTGCTGACTTCCTGATTAGCGAAGTCAATGGGGGGGAAGCTGGGTTCACTTAGTAACTTAACAATTGCAGCGATTCATTTAATGACTGTGGCAGGAAACATCACAAAATTGGAGCAAAACTCCCTTAACAACTGTCCAGCTTAATTTTGGGCTCAGCTGTAGTCCTAAGTCTAGAATTACCTGTAATGTTCAGGAAAATAATGTTTGAAAAATGCAGACGTTTAAGATTATAAAGCATTGGGAGAGAAGGAAGCATTTTTAAGGAAAATCCGATTAATGGGTTAAGACTTCCTTGGCTGAAATGATGGCTGGTCAGTGTCTTAGGGGCTCCCACTCTTGAAATTACTATTCCCGATCCAGGGAAAGTTCACAGTGATTATGTCAGAAATTAATGAGACATAAATCAGTTGGAGCTAATTGGTCTCATCGATTTTAGTCATCTCTCCTCGACCCTCTTTTCTCTAAACTTGAACCTTTTAATCTAAGAGTGGATGTACAACAATTCCCTTCACACTGTACACCCTTTCCTGGGGAAGCAACTTCAGTCAAATTCATAAGGTATAAGAAATGGTGAATGCAAGAGAGAAAGCATGGGGCTTGAAAAAAGAAAAGGGAACATATCCCGTGCTCCATCGTTTTCTTTTGGGGGAGAAACAGAAATAAGGATTCTTTATTTCGGGATGGAATCTTGGGGTGCCCATAAATATTGCCCAGATTTCAATAACTCCAGAATTTCAGAATAACGGAGTTGGAAGGGATCTTGGAGGTCTTCTAGTCCAGCCCCCGCTCAAGCAAGAGACCCTGTACTATTTCAGACAAATAGCTTTCCAGTCTCTTCTTGAAAACCTCCAGTGATGGTATAGGGTCTCCTGCTTGAGCAGGGGGCTGGACTAGAAGACCTCCAAGGTCTCTTCCAGCTCTATTTTGATTCTGATTCTGATGGAGCACCCACAACTTCTGGAGGCAAGGAGTTCCACTGGTGAATTGTTCTCACTGTCAGGAAATTTCTCCTTAGTTCTAAGATTGCTTTTCTCCTTGATTAGTTCCCATCCGTTGCTTCTTGTCCTGCTTCACTCCCTCTTCTTTGGGGCAGCCTCTCAAATATTGGAAGACTGTCATCATATAACTCACTAAGGCTTCTTTTCATTAAACTAGACATACTCAATTCCAGCAACCATTATATACCTCTATATTTCAGGGTCTAAGGAAACGCTCATAGATGACCAGCTGTTCCACATTTCCCTTCGAAATGGAGCATTATCTATCTATCTATCCATCTATCCATCTATCTATCTATCTATCTATCTATCTGATCTATCTATCTATTTTATTTATTGATATCCTGCCTTTATTATTCTTATAACTAACTCTAGGCAGCGAACATACTTAATACTACTTCCTCCTATTGACGCTGTGAGGTGGGCTAGGCGGAGAGAGAGAGACTGGCATTTTTCAATGTTTAGATGATCAGCAGATGTAGGTGGATGTTTCTGTTGGCTTATGTTTGCCTGCATGCACATCTGGTTAACAGCTGTTTTGGGGGTGGGGCTCTTCTGTCCCATAGAAAGCTACTACCAAAACCAGACGTGGAGGAGGAATTACTGAGGACGTGTCGTCAGAACGAGAAGGAACTGGAGGGCTTACCCTGCCTTTACGCCTCTTTGGAGACGGATTCGTGGAGCAGCATCGAAGATCTTCTTCGGATCATCAAGGATAAAGTCTGGGAAGAGCAACAGAAAACCATCTGGATTGATGAAGAGCAGTTGTGATGCACAGATCCCATTGGTGACCTGGGATCCCGCTAGCAACGTAATGAAGCCGAGAGGAGAAGACCTCAGGAAAGGCTGCCGTCTTTGTTCCTGCTTCATCAGAAGTCTGAGAGTCTCAGCAACAGGTAGAACGTTGAGGGCGAGAGAACGTTCTGAGAAACCAAGGATGGAAGGCTTGGACAATGACATTTCCATTAGGGATACTTTAGAGTATGGAAGTGGATTGTTCTTCCAGGGAGCTTGGCTCCATTCTCTAGTGTCCACCACTTCTGGAACACTGAAGGTCAGATGTTTCCAAAGAGACATTTTGAAGCATAAACCTGGAGCTGCAAGGTCTGAAGATGGATGGCGGGAGGGTCAAGGGGAAACATTTTTGATAGTCATCTGTGAGTGAGATGGGTGGTCCCTAAATTTGATAAATAAATAAAAATACATAAATAGCAGCGGGGGAAGGCCTTGACGTTCCTCATGGCCATCTCTTGGAGAGATGGGTCCAACTGTCCTCAGATCCACCAAAATGTGTGTCTCGGCCTGCTTAATAGCCAAGAGCATCTTTCATCTCTTTTCCCCACTCTATTCCTTCTTTCTTCTCCTGCCCTATCTTTAAGTCATCCCGCCCTATCAGAGATACCAAAAGTAGAAGGGGCCACCATGCCTCTAAGTCACTGTTTCTCAACTTGGCAACTTAAAGATGGATGGACTTCAACTCCCAGAATTCCCCAAGCAACTATGCAATGTTGGGATGCTGCAACAATTATAAGTACAGAGACTGGTTGTAAGCCATCTATTTTCAGCATTGTTGTAACTTCAAATAGTCGCTAAACAAGTTAAGCTGAGGACTACCTGAATAAGAGAAATCTCTTTGCAAGTAGAAAAATAGCATCACGTGGGATTTATTGAGCTAGAACTGTGTTTCTCAATCTCGCTACTTGGAGATGGGTGGACTTCAACTCCCCAGTGTGCTGGCTGGAGAATCCTAGGAGTTGAAGTCCACTCATTTTAAAATTGCTAAGGTTGAGAAAGGTTGCTTTAGATAAATGGGGCACAAACTTTAGCTGGCTGGAGTGTTCTGGGAGTTGAAGTCCACCCATCTTGAAGTAGCCAGAGTCGCTACTGCTCTAAGTAGTTGGCAGATAATGGCCACGGGCAAAAGTTGGAGGCTACGAAAAGAAGGAGCAGTGCAAATAAGTTGCACTCAGTCATTACCAGAGGTTTACCAAGAGAAGAAGCTTCCGAATGGCGCTAAACAATGAATCAAAACTAAAATTTAAATTCTTATTTTTTAATTTAATTAAATTAAAAACAAAGAACAACCAATCAATGGAAGGGAGGAAGAGAGAGGGAGAGCCAACCTGGAAATACGGAGGAATTTCCTAATAGTGAGAACTATTAAGCGGTGGAACAGCTTGCTTCCCAGAGTGGTGGGTGCTCCATCACTGGAAGGTTTCAAGAAAAGATTGGACAACCATTTGTTCAGGATGGCATAAGGACTCGTGTCTTGGGCAGGGGTTGGTCTAGAAGACCTCTAAGGTCCCTTCCAACCCTGTGATTCTATGTTCTAAGTATATTTGCAATTTGCCCAAGCTCTGAGTCCTCTGATGTCCTTAGCCACCTGGAGCAGGAAAGTCCAAACGCTACCGCCAGGCGTTTGCAGGCGCCCCTGGGTCTCAATGGGGGCTCACATGGGGTGAAAATAAATAAAGGTTGCACAGCTGTGCTAGCAGATTGTGTCCTCTGCCTGCTGCCACTGAGCGTTTTTCATATCCAGCCCTTTGAAGAACGGAGATTGCCGGAGGCTCTGGAGTTGGCGGTGGCCACAGGTCCCCAAATCCGACATCTTCAATTAAGTGGCATTTTTTTTTCCCAGCCTTGTCACTTGATATCTATTTTTCCTGCAAAGACGTTGATGAGCACATGAAAATCATCACCAATTGTCTGTCTCTCTCTGTCTCTGTCTCTCTCTCTCTCTCTTTCTCTTCCTCCCTCTTTCTCTCTTTCTCTCTCTTTCTTTCTTTCTCTCTCTCCCTCTTTCTTTCCTTCTTTTTCTTTCTTTCTCTTTCTCTCTCTCTCTCTCTCTTTCTTTCTTTCTTTCTTTCTCTCTTTTTTTCTCCATGGGCATCTATCAGATATTGCAGATGCTCTCATATCTACTCATCGCATTGATTGCAATGGAATGCGGAGGGGAGGGGAATATTTTTCTGAGCAATTAAGCCAAAAGATGGTTGGAGGTGGGGAGGGGGGGAAGGGAGGCTGGTTCTGGATAAAATTGAGCCCAGGGTCATGAAAAAAGACAACCAGACATGGATTTGTGAAGGGAACCTGGCCTGGAATGTAATGGATCACCAGTAAATGGGGGGGGTGGATTTTAAGATGGGTTGGACTCCTTCTGAGAATAAAACAAAAAACAAAAAGCAAATGATAGGGTTTTTACCTTCCTCGGTCGTGTTTTGCAGCAGAGAAAAAGCACCAAAAGGCTTTTTGTTGCCTGTAAAGGATTTTCAACTATTTCACAGTGTTTGTTTGTTTTTTTCAGCCAAGGTACAGAGGTCTACCTTGTAGATCAGCTTCATTCCCCTACCTCTACTACAATATCCAGCTTGCTGTAGTAGGGAAGGCAGCGTGGAAAGTTTGGGGGGGGGGAGTGAAGAAACAGCAGAGTTCTGCCCCCCCCCCCTTTCCAGGGATTTAAAATGGAGATTAACCCCATTGATTGTAAATGCCTCAGTAGCCTTCTTAGCTATTTCTCTGGGCAGATCCTGTTGGGTGTTGACCAGGATCTTTAAGCTGCTGGAATGTGTTACAATAAGCACTGAGTAGAATGAACTAGTGGTCCTTGCCAAAATTATTAGAAAAAAGACGCCGGGGAAGCATCACAAACATTATTGTCTGGGATAAACGCTCCAGAAAAGGCAAATGCATCTCATTGTAGGAAGAAAGATCCAGGCCCATTTGAAGCATCTGTTCCAGAGGTTCTTCTGGACTAAGTCTGACTCCCCAAACCATCTTCAACAAACCCTAATCGAAACCGAATTAAACAAAGTTTGTTGGGTTTTTTTAAAAAAATTAATTGGGAAGAAACAGGAGATATGGACCTGACATCGTTAAGGTAAGCTTTGCTAGATAGAGTTGGATGGGACCTTGGAGATCTTCTAGTCCAACCCTATACCATTTCAGACAAATGGTTGTCTTGTCTCTTCTTGAGGCAGGTTGTTAATTTACTCTCCATAACACTTGAGGGCAGAACATGATTTAATGGGTGGGAGCTCATCAGAAGGAAATCCAGACTGGAAATAAGGAGGAATTTCCTGACAATGAGAATAATTAATCAATGGAACGGCTTGCCTCATTGAATTGTGGGTGTGCCATCACTGGAGGTTTTCAAGAAAAGATTGGATAACTCATTTGTCTGAGATGGTAGGAGGACCCACCTGCCTTGGGCAGGAGATTGGACTAGAAGACCTTGAAGGTCCCTTCCAGCCCTATGATTCTAATCCAGATCTTCAGGCTGATGTACAGGAAGACAAACATTCATGGTAGAATGGATGGAAGCCTTTAAAATGGGTCGATGGTGTGCGATCAAGAACCCACCGCTTGACTGAGTCCAGGGGTAAGTTACGGAGTTGACTGCCTCCAAGGCAGATCTTAATAGCCTTGATCTAAGCCACGAGTTTAGTCAATCAACTGTTAAAATCAAAACACTTAAAACCTAATCAAGACAAGCTAAATCCTTTAATTGGATGGCAATCCTCAGAGAGAAGCTCAACGGTTCCTATGTCAGCAATGTTTTAAAGCAACGTTTGTAGTCTTAACTATTTCAATGGAATGTGCTGAGGATCTCCGTCTATCGGCTGGGTACTGTGTCCCTTTATCGAAGCCATGGTTAAATAGAAGGCCATCAGAAAGGGAGGACCTCCTACTTCAAACTCCAAGAGAGAGACTGTGGGTTTTCAGTTTGAGGAAGTAGACCTCTTGCTGTTCAAGAAAGGGTAAGTTGGGGCTTGTATATCTGCCCCCAAAAGCTGCTCCAAACCTTTAGCAAAGACTTGAGAAGTTTGTCCCATCTCTCCTTGATGTGTTCACATCAGAAGTGGACATCCACACGTGTGGAGCAATGCCTCTCAACCTTGGCAGGTTGAGTATTTCTCCACCTTCTTCCATGGGGAATTCTCCCTTTGGGGGTGGGGATTTGACTCTCCAACTGCCACTGGAAGAGGGGTCCCATCCTTTGTCGATTAGCTTGTTTTTAAAATTCACAACTTGCAAGAGAAGGAATGGCACAACCTGGAAGTGGAGTTAAAAGAGGAATCAGCCTAGAATCCCTACATAGTTGCAAGTGAACTAAGTCCAATCTCCCTTGAATTCAGTTCTCTCTTATCTAACTCCAAGCAGATGCTGACCCTTAGGTGAGAAGATTCCTGTACACAGGTGTAATAGCAATACATCACTTTAATTGGCTCTTCATGCACGGACCTGATCTTTCCCACCTGGCAAACTGCGGTGTGAATGAAAGAACACTGGATGCTGGTCAACGTTAAGTAAGCACTGCATTTCAAAACTTACAATTATTATTATTATTTTGACATGAGGGTTTACAGGAGGGGGTCAAAAATGTCAAGAGGTCAGCCACTGTAATGCATTCAAAATCCTACTTCTTTTTTGCAGGCAACGGGGCACATCTTCAAAATGGGGATTTGATTCCATGGTGGAGGTCAACACCTTAATTTTTTTACCTCTCCCCCCCCCCTCAGACCCCGTCGATGTTGCAGATCCACGCAGACAAACACAGTGATTCTGAAGCAAGCTGGAACAATTGCAAGTTAAGGTTAGGACCAGGCCAGGCAGCCGAACACGTCTATGGCTCCAGGCGTTGTTCATGTTATTATTTTTAATTTACAAGGATGTTAACCTTTCCTGCAAGAAAGATGCTTATTCCCCGACAATGTATTATGTGTTGTGTCAGCAGAAGCAAACATGAATCTTTTTTCGTCCCTCCACTCATTTATTGTTGTTGTTATTATTATTATTATTATTAATTTTGCAGTTCTAGAGGCACCACTGCACAATTTTGCAGTTCTAGAGGCACCACTGCACAGGTTCAAGGAGATTTCTGAATCAAGACTGGTAGTTGATGGGTCTCTGGAAGCTTTCTCTAATTTGGAGTTGCCCAATATCTAAGGGGTTGCCACAAACAGGAGGGGGGTCAACTTATTCTCCAAAGCACCCGAAGGCAGGACAAGAAGCAACGGATGGAAACTAATCAAGGAGAGAAGCAACCTGGAACTAAGGAGGAATTTCCTGACAGTGAGGACAATTAACCAGCGGAACAGCTTGCCACCAGAAGTTGTGGATGCTCCATCCCTGGAGCTTTTCAAGAAGAGAGTGGACAACTGGGGCAAAGAAAGGTCATAAAATGGGACACGACCACATAACAACTGCTTGCTTAGCAACGGGAATGTTGGGCTCATTTGTGCTCGTAAATCGAGGACTACCTGTGATGTATGGATCCTTCTGGACAACTTCTAGGATGCAAAGATGTCCTTGGGGAGTTTTACAGTCCTCCCCGCAGCCCGCATGGGATCCTCAAAAGCAAACCCGTGTCTCCCCACCCCCCAGCCCTTGGAGCTCACAGCTCGTTATCTGATGTTGTGTCATTAATCAAAGCCGCAACGATGAGTTGGTCGGCAAAAATACAGCCTAGCCAGTGCTTCATTTGTCGTCATCGATTTTCCCATCACTGTTTATTACTAGTATTTGCTTTGTAAGCCTCCAAAAATAAACTCCACAGCCTGGCAGGGCACGTTCGGAAATGCCTCTTCTAAACCGTCTGCATGCCAGCCTTTTCCCCCCACAGAGAAGACCAGCCAAATGGAGGTTGTGATCTTTGCAACCGGGAGGAGAACATCATGCTCCATGGAGGCTGTTGTTTAGTAGCAGCTACACACAGAAGGCTACAAATGCACAGCAAAATGGATTCCCCTCTCCTGATTCCCCTTTCTTTCCGGCACATGCGCGCGCGCACACACACACACACACACACACACAAAGAAACGTCCAAGTTTCTAGTCCTGAATATTCTGAGGATACTTTTCAGGGCTGTCCTAGAAGGCTGCTTCTCCTTTCTTCTAGGTCGGAGCCAACTGTGCAAACCAGAGGACAATTATCAAACTAATTGACCATTTTTCATTTGTGCCGATTAACCAGGCAGCAAAGTCTAGCTTTCCTTGGAAGGGAATTTTAATGTTTTCGTCTAGATTGTGTGTCTTGGCTCGAGCCCTTGATAACCGATAGAGCCGTCACTCAGCGAATGAAAGATTAGTCAATTATTGGTCTGAGTCTTAGTCAATCAATTTAATTTTTCAATTATATATGCCTGCGTTTGCAGGAGCTCAAGCCACAGTATTTTGCTACCTGAAGCTAAGCCATTTTCCTTCCTCGTTCCAGGAACAAAAATCAGACGGGAAGAGTGGAGGAATTTTAATTCAGGACGGGGTGAAGACGGCATCACCAGACGCCTCCCCCGGGATCCTCCGTGTAAACATTCTGTTCCCTAGTTACACAAAGAAGCTGGTTTGCTTAATAAAGGGGGTAAAAATTGTTGTGAAATTACATCCGACTCAACTTATGACAGAAATTGTCATTGTAAGTTGAGGACTACCTATAGAACTGCACAGGTGAGGCCCCGTTTGGAATACTGCATCCAGTTCTGGTCACCACAATATTAAAAAAAATGGTGGGCAGGGGGTTGGACTAGAAGACCTCCCAGGTCCCAACACTAGGATTCTATGAGTTGATTTTATTTCCTTGGGTTTTGCTCGTGAATTTTCCTTTGTAAAGCAGAGTTGTAAACAGAAACCATTATTATTATTATTATTATTATTATTATTATTATTATTATTATTATTATTATTATTTTAAAAAGAAATCCTAACAAACCTCTTTCTGGTTTGCTCCATTTCTAGGTTGGTCCTTTATTTTTATTTTTTTTGCCCCCCAAGAAAATACGGTCATTCTTGAGGGGTCCTTGATGCTCTCTGAGCTTGGTTGTTCTCTTGCAGACGTTTCATTACCCACACTAGGTAACATCATCCATGCTAAAGGCATTGGCATGGTCGTCCTTCCTTGCAGAAAATTCCTTTTTCAAGGGTCAATTTTCACCTTTCCAAAGATGGGAATTCAAACCCTGCTCATCTGACCCATTGGCTTATT